CCTGAGTAAGTGCATCTCCTAAGGTCATTTCTTTCTCACTCTGGTCAGCTTCAGTAATTTCTTCATTTTTAGGGCTTGAACTGTCGCCCGAAACATTTTCTTCCTGAGACACTGTAGATGATGCAGACACCTACATATACATTAACTGTTAGCGCTTTCATACAACATTTACTTTGTTTCCATGCATTTAATAAAACATATGCAACGTTGAGAAATCAAATTCCTTACAATGTCAGTTTCCATTCTCCTGAATACAATGCTTATCATCTGAGTCAACATTGCTTTAGAAGTTGCTTGGTTTATTGGGCTCTTGCTACATGTAAATACTGCATTTAGTGATTACACCTGGAGTGATGAAAAATCAGATAAGAGGAGAGGAAGTTTACCTGTTTAGAGCAATGTTATAGCAAACTCGAATAACTCCCAGCAATGGTTCTCCGTGCACTGTAAATAAAACACATTAAACTAGTTTAATTTGATATTGAAAGAAAAATAAAAACAGAAACCGGTTCAGCCCTCTAAGAGTTACAAAATATATTTCCACATCAGAGGCATACCTTTAAACTTCCCCGAAGCAACAGCTGTAAGAAGAACCTTCAGCACTTGAAGGACAGTGCTGCATTAAAAAAAATAGCTTTTAAGAATTGGTAACCAACCTCAAGAATATTTCGAAACAGAGGTACATACCTGTCTGGTGATGAATTATCAACACAGCTGCAAACCATGTTCAGAATGTCAGTGAAAGGTGCAGAATTTTTCCCGCCATCCAAACCCGGATCCCCCTCCAAATGATCGTAGGCAATGAGTTTCTGCTTGCAACAAGCAAAGAATGAAAAACATGTACAGAATATCAAAGAATGACTGGAGATACATAACATAAGTACAGAGTTACAGGAATCTAAAAAAAGAAAATCTTTAATGAAGCAAACGACCAGGGATGCTCAAAGCAAAAATACAAAAACATACATGAAGACAATCCAAAGCAGCATCGAAAATCTTTAAGTTCTTTGTCTCAAATGCAAGGCGTAGAGGCTTCAGAACAAGCTCCACTTCAGCTACTCCTAATGTGTGTCCAGCACTTGCTAAGGACATGTTGATAGTTCCGCTTTTTGACTGGCCAGCCTGCTCGGCCCCTTCACCAGTCGAGACTTTTGGCGGTTCATCTGCTTCTCCCCCAGTTTTTTCACCTCCACCTTCAGCTTGTGAACTGAGGTTAGATATAATCCAGTGTCAGTCAAGCAAAGATATATCACTAAACTTATTTCTCACATGCATACGGCAGGAATACAGAGAGTACAGGCCAGCGTTACATAAAAACTACGAAACTTCTTCAGAGTTGGACAGCTGAAAACTCCACAAAAAAAGGCTCATACTAAAAAGAAGACTAAATTAGACAAATACGATTTAGTAAAGGGTTTCATGATAATCAAGCATGGCTAGTCGATAAGACAAACATCAACAAATGACTACCTAATATCAAAAATGAAAAAGAAAAAAAAAAGAAAGTAAAACAAATAAAAGTAATATCAATTTCTATCAAGAAAACTAAATCCGCAGTCAGTGACTCCTGAAAGATGGGTTAAAGCCAACAAGCTAGCAGAAAATGGATCAATGGTCTGGTCAGAGGTCATTACCTCTCATCTTTGCTCGAGGATGCAGCCTGCGTAACAACCTTCGAACCATCTATATACAAGCAGAAATGGAAGCTAAACTAGTTAGAAAAAGAAAAAATATTATCACCACCATACATTTCTATCATATGAAGACAATATGACCCAAGGCCAAAATAGAGCATAACAAACAAAATGTAAAGAGAAGCCTCGATCAAAGACATGTTTAAGAGTCACTAATTTTCCTTCATTCTACTTCCAATATCACCTCACTGACACAGATCACTTGAAAATCCAAATAGCAAAATGCAGCTTATAGTAGCTATAAGACGGAGAGGCGGAGATGACAAGTTCATAAATATTGGACCAGACTTCCCTATGTTTTATCGTCAAACCAAGTAAAACATTCTGTAATCATGTAACCAATCCATGTCCATAGCTTCCTTGTACTATAAATTAGACATTTATTGGAGCCAAAAAGAACTTACGTCTACCAAAATGTTATAGTACTCAAAAGAAAGAATAAGAAAGTAAAACTATTTTGATAGGTCGCATCTTTGTTCACAGTTCCACATTCAAATATCAGATACAAACTCGATCGAGATTCTATAGCATTAGCCATACTATAATTCACTAAGGCAAACATCTAGCAGAAAACGGTAGCTATGATCGTGTTCCAAAGGAGTGAAATTAAATTTTGCTCGGAGCAAAAGCAGCGCTCTAACGATTTGACAAAAATCAAACCAATTTAGAAAGACAAAAAAGTTAGCAAAATTGGAGAAAATTTGAGATCTAACCTTGGTACGCTTGAATAGCTTTCTGGAGATCAGGAAACTTCTTGCCACCAGACTCCTTGAGCATCGTCTCGAATGCTCGGGTCAAAAATCCACCCGCCGCCATATTTCCTCCCTCTTCCTCTTCTTATTCCTCTTCCACTTCTTCGTCTTCTCTTTGCTTCAACAGCAATTTTTTCTGCACAATACCGCAAATTCAAACACTAAATCGGACGGAAATAAAAGCGGATCATGCGGCAGCTAGATCGATTGAAGATACGATGGAATCGAGAGAGAAAATGGGAAATGAGAATTGCCTCTGCTCTCTGGTTCTGATTAAGGCCTTGACCGATGAGGCTCGATCGAAGAGAAGAGATCTGAAGCAGCGAAACGAGCCACTAGCTAGATCTAATTTCCCATTTTTAAATTTTTATTAGTAACAGGTAAACCAAAAAAAGTCATCATATCATTTGAAGAGTAGTAAATTTGGCTGAAGTGAAAAACTAAAATAGTTGATAACAAAAACATTTGGGATTTGGCCCAAACGTGTATTTTTAAAATTAAAACTATGTGATTGTGAAGAAAATAAAAAATATTATCATTAATGTTCCGAAACTATTATAGTATTACACAATGTCATCGTACTGAAAAATCTCTATTAAATAATGATACTGAGACTTCAAAATTTTATTACTTTATAGAGTTTTTTTTTTTTGTTTTTGGTAAAATTATAGAGTTATTTTTGGGTTGAACTCTTAACATTCATAAAAAAGACACACAAAAAACATTATTTTCAACACTATACAATTTGTTAAAAAGATATCATATCATTGATTGGAAGATGTATCAAACAACAATAAAGTTATGTTTTATCAAATTACTTTATATACTTAATTATACATATTTATATTCAAAATTATTAATTTATATCTAACTGTTGAGATCATATTTTTATCCAGAAGTTTCAATGTAATATTTTATTAAATTTTACTTATTTTACATTAGTCAGACTGGATAAATTTATTATTTTATTTTATCAAATAAATGTTAAAAATGGTGAAAAGTAGAGAAAATCAAAAAATTTAGATTAATCATGCTGATCTCCATTAAACTTTTAAAATGGGAAGCTTTTTGTGCATTCCATATGCTTTGAAGCTATTACAATCAAAAATCTCCATAATATTTTATCCATTCATTCACTTTTTTAAAATACAAGGAAAAAAAAAGTTAAACGTTTAAGGGTATCTCTAATGTATTGCCCCATATTTAACTCCAAAATGAAGAAATCTCAAAATGGAGTTGGATTTTGCTCCAATGTATTGCCTCATTTTTTACTTAAAACTTTTTATTAATTACTAAATTTACATTGATATTTATATATTACAAATTGCCCCATAATTTTTTTCTTCAAAACTTTCACAATTTATTATAATTATTTAATTAATTATGAAAATATTAATAATACATTATTACAAGACTAAAAATAACAACACAAACTGATTTTATTTTTAATTAGAACCATTTGAATAGTTGTTTTAATAAATTTATTTTTGATGTTATTTCTAATAACAAATTTCCTTTCTTTTAAATATTATTAGCTTAAATAATTAAATTTCTTTAAATATGTGTTATTTGTATTTTAGAGTAAAAATAAACATCAAAATAATTAATTATATATAAACTGAATAATTTAAAACTTCAAGGATTGTTATATAATTTAAAAACTTCAACTCCAAAATGGAATGAAAATGGGATCAACCTCAATTTGGGAAAAAATATGGCATTTTGCCATTTTGAGATTGAAAATGGGGTTGGGTTGAGCAAAATTGACTCCAAAATAGCAGATTTACACATATCGGTCATACTGAAGAGAACCTCGTTGTCGTTATCGATTGTCGTCGTTGAATGCCATTTACCAAGTTCGTGGAACAGTTCTTGCATCACCAATACTATTGTAGACATTCTTGAAATCCCGCAACTTGATGTACTCTATAGCTTTAATTTGGTTAACGAGTTAGTTCCCTGAGAATAAAGCTCAAAGCAATCGCGCAACAGCTTCTCACTTAACCTACTCTTACACTTTTTCTCCTTCACAATCTTCTCCACAATCCTATTCACGTTTGTCATGTTCGACATAGCTTTTTTCAGTCCTACCACAATCAAGTCATCAACATTTCTCAGTTTCTAATCTCCGGGTTTTCTTTTGATAGATGCGACGCAGAACTTGTAGGACTATGGTTCCTATTCTGTATATTTCGAAGCTTTCTTGCAAGAATCTTGAATCAGAGAATCTAACATCATTTTTCTTTTTCTTTTTGGGAAGAAAAAACTAGAGAATGGATTGGAGAATTGTAGTAACTTGTGATCCAATTAATAAGCAAACAAAAATCTTCAGACATGGGAGTAATTGGATGTGTAACTTGTGATCCAATTGTATTAACTTGATCCAATTAATAAGCACACTGGATGGGAATATTGGAATGTAAATGTACAAAATAAATTTGATTCATTTGTATAATTGAGATGATTCTTATATTGCCTATTCTACTTCTTTTACAATCTTGTCGCATCGAGGAAAAAAATGAAATAAAATTTGAGTAAAAACAAAAATAAAAAATCAGGGAAGCAGATCGTCGCCGAAGAGATAAAGCAGACGCTCCACGGCCCAGCTAGGTTGGTTAATGGCCGGCCAATCGGAGGAGGACGTCGTATTAGCAGGAAGCAACGGCGTTCTACAAAGCGGGCAGTTACGGTGGTTATCCTCATCGCCGCGGCATTCGTAGTCAAGCCACCGGTCAATACAATCACGATGGAACACGTGGCTGCAATTCCTAAGCTCTCTGATTTCGTCATCGTCTTCGAAAGTTCCTAGACACACCGCGCAAGTCTCGCTGATCATCGACGGCGGAGATCTCTCCACCACGTCACGAAACGCCGTCACGGCGAGGCTTTCTTTGATGGTTTGGGATGAAATCAGAGGACCAGAGGAGGCGGATCCGGATCCGGAAACGGTTGATCTAGATCGGTAACGGAGGATCCAAGCGAAAATCCATCTCAAAACGGCGATGATAACCGCCGTTTTGTATAGAACGTGGCTGACGATGAGACTAGTGTCTTCGATGAAGAAAGTCATTGTGCTGTTTGCTGAAGAAGTAAGCAGAGAGAGAGAGAGAGAGAGAGAAGAGAGGGAGGAAGAGAGGAGAATCAAATGTTCGTTTATAAAGGCAAATAAAGCCTAATGGTTTCATTTTTCTATTAGTGGTGGTGGCATCTTTGTTAAAAGAAAGTTTTTAAAAAACTTGTAATCACATTTGCTTTTTTCATTCCAAAGAAGTGTCAAGTTTTCTGTTGTGGTGATCTGTATCCACTTTTTCATTTAAAGCATATTTGTCGAAATTAAAGATTAAGCCTCTTAACGTGTATGCATATTGCATATGCCATTAACCCATTTATAGTAGAGTGGTTTTGCTTTTTGTTTTCAGTTTACTCTAAAATTTTACGTAAGCCTCACAGTATATAATGGCAACAAAACCGCAGTGACGTGTTCAATGAAGTTTTAGTAGCATATAAAAAGAATTAGAGAAAGGTTTTCACTAAGAAATACTAACTATGTATAGATTATGATGGGTCCTTGTTTAGGTTGATGAGGAAGAAAATCCTTTCCCATGACGCATGATGTCGTCTTCTAACAAATAAAGTACTATGGTTAACGTTACAAAGACAAGCATGGACCCCATCTGACACATCATTTTCCTAACTATCCTACTCAGATTCCATTACTTCAAAGTTCAAAGTTTCATTTTTTTTTATCAAAAGCTCAACTTGCAAATGTCTTACCATTTCCTTGTAAAAACTATAAATGAGATAGAGGGATAAAAACATAATTGCAAAAGGCCGAAAATCTTCAATTCTTTTGAACCATTGATTTAGTGGCCTCTTTTACCAAAAAAACTTTCGAAGTCTTCTTGAGGTGTTAATGAGACATCAGACATGCATGGGAACATCAAACATGCATGGGACATAACACACGAATGAGATACATATATGCAAAAGAAAGAAACCAGATACATCGGTCGACTTTCAAAAGACGAATGAGAAAGTGTCAGCTAAAGGATTGGGATTACAAAAGACCCCACGTGAGATACGTTGGTCTTCTTGTTATGCTTTAGTTGGTTGACTACACAACTTTACATCGACACCCCACTATCCATTTGATTATTTAACGACTCATTTCTAAAACGTCGGCACCAAATCTCTAACTTTTGTAAATGTTTAATTTCTGAAGTAACGACAATATTCACATTCTCAACTAATGGCAAGTTAGATTTTTTATTTATTTGGCAATTTTTTCATATAATACCAAACACATCGATATTTATGTGCTTTGTAAAACCATAAATAGTAGTTGGTGACTAGATTAATCTCCAAAAAGGTAGGTTTCGAACTTTCGAGGGCCAACCAACTTAGAACCAAAACGTCTAAAATGTCTACACCAGAAAATAGAAAACCTCGGGCTCGAGCTACCTTTTTGGTTTATGCCGAAACTAGATTGGCTATCTTATTATTGAGAACCATTTCAACTCAAGAAACATTAGATAGCAGCAGAAGATCAAACATCAACCAAGAGGTTGAAATCTGGCAAACAAGAACGTGAGCTATATAAACGATTGCTAGCAAACCGGAAATTGTCACACTTGAATTGGTTAAGCATTATATAAATGAGAGACTCTTGATTAAACCGGAAATTGTCACACTTGAATTATTTAAACCGGAAAGAGTCTTTGACTATTTGCCAACGTGTCTGTTCTTCTTCATTAGCGCTAGAGACAAAGCGAGAGCTTTATCAAATCAATCACTAAAAATTAGTCGTTAAACGAAGCGGCGAAGAAGAAGAAAAATGGCGGATTTGCTGTTGAGTTTCTCGGCACAGTCTTCTCTCCTTCACGTAAGACCCAGACTCCTCACACTCAAGACCCCTTCTGCTTCACCGATCCGAAGCATCGCCTTCCTTAATTCCAAAGGTTTTCATCCTCTCGCGTTTGCATCGGGTCACCGACGACTTCCTCTCGGGGCATCGACCAAAACGATCACCACTATTACTGCCAACTGCGTCGATTCGGGAGTCAAAGCTGTTGTAGTTGAGCCTACAATCGACGTCGGAGGTGGTGGTGGTGGTGGAATTGGAGGTGATAAGTTTGGCGGCGGTGGAGGCGGCGATGGAAATGAAGAAGGAGAAGGCGGCGGAGAGGAGGAGAGTGACGGGAATAAGAACACGCCTTTGTCTATGTCGCAGAAGTTGACTCTTGGTTACGCTTTTCTCGTCGGAGGTGAGATTCGATTTCATCATTTGTTGAAATTTCTAGGGTTTTAAGAGGTTTATATATCTGCTTCTTCAACCGGACTTGATTTTCAAAATTGGGATTTGTAGATCCACTATGATGCATTAGAGATGACAAATATCATCAGAGATTTTGTCACAGTTGAGAATCTGATCAGTGATCCATTTTTGCGAATGTTTTATAGAAATTGATTGTAACTTAGGGGATTTGTAGATTCTTCGTCACTTTTGCATTAGGGATTACAAATACTATCACACTCATTTGTATTTGTGAGAAGACAAAAGGGTTCATAGAACCGCACCACATTGTTATTGAATATTGCTAGAGATGGATTTTCTATGAATGTCATAGCTTTAGATTCAAATTTGAATGGTTTCATTTCCTTGTTGATGTTGTATGCTTGCCTATAAAGTGATGCTCCATTTTGATATGCTTCAGTATCTCATATGTAGTTTTGGCTGTGACATGGTTTTGATGCAGTTGGTGGGCTGATGGGTTATTTGAAGAGCGGTAGCCAGAAATCGCTGCTTGCTGGTGGACTATCAGCTGCTATTCTACTGTATGTGTTCCGCGAGCTCCCAACAAAACCTGTTCTTGCATCAACCATTGGCGTAGGTAAGGCAAAAGAGCATCTTCCTCAAATCATAGCTGAACAATTTGCTAGTCGATAGAGCCTTAAACGCCTAAAATTCTTTGTGTCGTTTGATTGCTGTGATGAAAAAAAAGTGATGGCGGGTGCATTAACGTGGGTGATGGGGACGAGGTACATGGGTTCGAAGAAGGTATTTCCAGCTGGAGTTGTGTCGCTGATGTCTTTCATTATGACCGGTGGATACATACACGGCATCATGCGCAGCCTTCACTAAGCAGCAGCAGAAGCAACAGTAAACTTTGGGGTGTGTTTACAAAGTATCTGAACGTTTTTTTTCTCAGGTTTTAAAATTGGACTCTCTCTTTGTTTTTGCTCCGGTGTAAAGCAGCTTGCTACTTGTTTTATATGAACCGTAAGAAAACTACTTGATGGTTTTGGAGGGACCATTTGCTTTTTTAATATGTTTCCTGTTTGATAGCTCTGAAACAGATTTTACAGTCATTAAAAAATCTTTAAAATTCATGGTACCATTCGAGTACACCAAAACTACTACAAAATTGGCAACTTCCAAAATTTCCCAAACAAGAGAAACAGTGACATAAAACATGAATGAGACAATGCAGAACTTGTTAAGCTGGAAACATATGATGGGATACAAAAACCGAAATTTACGAAAATAAATTTGGAAGTTTAGTGAAATTCTCGAAAACATTGGATAAACCGTTAATAGTTAAAATAATATTTTCGAAATAATTATCGGATCAAAGCAACAGACGCCATACTCAAAAGTTATTATACGTAGATTTTTCCTAGTATGAAATTTTATAAGATTTTGTTATAAATCCTATAATATCTCTACTGGTCAACTTTGACTTAACGCAATTAAAAAAAATTCATCAAAAATGAAATTTGTCTTTTTTTTTTTTTTTTGGAAATACGTTTGCTCCTTCTTCTCCACAAGTGAAGAAGCGAGAAGAAGAGTGAAGCGAGAGAATCCAAAATCGCCACAATGGAGTTTGCCTTAGCGACTTCGAGTTTTCTCGGTACGCAAGTGATTCCCGCCACTCTGTTTTGCCGACGAGCTCGAGCCGTTTCTCTCACCGTCACCGCGAGTGGCACTTACAATCGCAGAAACGATAAGATTTACACGAGGCTTGACACTTGTCTCGTCATTCCTCCTCCTCCCAGATTCAAAAAACCTCGCGCAATCGTTAAGTTCTTGGGAGGTGCCTTCGTCGGAGCTGTACCTGAACTCACCTACAGGTACACTTTACTATCATCAACCTTCGTGTTTGCTTCGATTAGATCGATCGAGACCTTTAAACATTACCCTTTGTTGATGATTCTGGGTTTTAGATGTTAAATCGAAATCGGAACAGTTTTAGTGAAAGCTTTTGTGATTGTATATATGACTTGATTGATTTCATCCCTTGATTTTGTAGTTTTGTATATCCATTTGCATCCAACACTGTACCATTAGAGCTCATGCAATTTTTTCATAACTCCAAATAATCTTCCATCGAAGCTCCTTTTTGTTACAGAAAGAGTAAAAGATTGTATGAGCTTGATTGAGATGGAATGATTGTGATTTGTAGTTACCTCAAGAAGCTACTGGCAAAAGAAGGCTATTTGATAGTATCTGTGCCATACAACGTCACATTTGATCATGAACAAGCTGCTAAGCAGGTTTATGAGAGGTTCAATTCCTGCTTGGACATGATTGTTTCGTCTGGAGTTCCAAATTCGAATTTGAAGCCTCAAGATCTAGCTCATCTTCCTGTTTTCTCAGTTGGTCACAGGTCAGAAATGTTTTGCTCTCTCCTTAATTAAATGTGCTCACTGATATCTTAACCGGATTAACAGGACCAGGACTAGGTTTCATTTTGGTTACGTTATTCTTGGTTCTTCATTACCTCTGCAACCTACTTACTTACTATACTCATCACCAAGCATATGATATTTTTTTTGGTTCAATTTAGTGATGTGAGATTTATGTGATTCACTATGAAAGTCTTGTGATTACTTGAGTACTATCTCTTTTTTATTTACTTAATCTAATGTAGTACGGTTATATATAATATCCCTTGGCGCGATATGCCATATATGTTGCTGACTACGTTCATGTTTTTAAACTTGTATATAGCAATGGGGCACTGCTCCAAGTTTTGACAGGAAGTTACTTTGCTGAGAAAATACCAAAGGTTTGGTTTCTTGTTAACTAAAATGTAAATTTCAGTCAGATTAGTTCACTAAGAATGTTCTTTGTGAATAAAGAATGCCAGAGTGACAAAAAATCATCTCTCTTGTGAAAGGTTAACGCCATCATCTCATTCAACAATAAATCGGCCACAGAGGCAGTTCCATACTTTGAGCAGGTAAAAGATTTTCGTTGGTTAATGATTTTTGTAGACCTCATTTTATGATCTTTCTTGTTTATAAGAAGATAGGCTACAGTATGGTAGGACTACACAGGTTTAATGCTATCAATCGTTTATATAGCTCAATACGCTCTTGTTAGCCCAGATCATGGGACTGGGAATTGACAACCTTGATTGATGTTTGATCTTCTGTTGCTATATAATGCTTCCTGGATTTACAAATTGACTCGCCAAACAAATGAGACAATGGTTGCTTGTATCTTATAATGCTTATGTTCCTTTGCAGCTTGGTCCTCTCATCCAGCAGATGATACCAGTTGTGGAAGCTTCTCCTTTATATGATATGGCTCGAAATGCTTCAGGTGTTACTACGTGCACTACAATTCTAGTTCAAATGATTTCATGTGGACATGAAACTATTGCATTTCCTTTGAATCAAAGGAAGCCTTTCACAATAACTTCCAGTTGTGCTCATCTACAGGCGATGCTTTGAAAGGCTTACTTGATACAGCTGGGAAAATTCTAAACAACGATCAAGAAGCTCTCAAGTCGTTTACTAAACTGGTGGATCAATTGCCCTCAGTATTCGGTGAGGTACTTCTTCTGCAAGGAATTCTTGGCACAGTATCGAAGTTTAAAATTAGGCCATAAGTCAAAATTGAACTTCTCGTGTCGTTCTATGTAGGTGGGTCAAGGGGTCTCAGAGTTCAGACCGTCGCCACTAGAGAATCGCAATTGCTTCAAGTGCTCTTACAACGTTCCACACACTCTACTGGTAATGTGCACACAGGTTCCTTTAGAGTTTTATGAACTTGACGGTATTGAGCCTCTTCTGAGGTCTGATGCAACATTTTTCTCAGGTACAATTCAACTCCGATGCGATCGATGAGACTGATTTACTGGAAGAGACCTTGAGGCCTCGGGTAGAATCTTATGGTGGTACACTTGAAAAGGTTCGGCTGAACGGAAACCATCTCACGCCTTGCATACAGGTAACAAAACAGAGCAACTCTAGTAGTAGTTTCAATAGTTAACAAATATTGCTCTGTTTCTTCTTCATCGTGTTAATTCGGTTTGATTATGTGTCTGCAGGACCCGAAGTGGCAAATTGGATCTGTCTACACGCCAGCAGACGCTGTGGCTCAGGCGCTAAAGACGATTCCTCTGAGCGAAACTCGAGTTCTTTCAAGGACAATCGTCGATTGGTTTAGACGGTTTGAGGATTAAGCAGTCTCATGCAATGTTGAAGAAATGTAAAGATAAAGATATATATACATGGATCATGCGTTGCAAAGATTTCCGTTGTTAGTCACAAAAAAATATACAAATGCGGCTCACAACATCTTTACATGAAATCTCAGCTTCAAATACAATAAATGCTCCAAACCCAGCAACATGAATGAGTATTTGTGGCTTGATGTGAGTTTGTGACTATGGTTGCTATTGTCCAAGCTAAATAATTCAAATAACACATGTTTTTTTATGATTGCATACATATATTATTTAATACATGTTTTGTATGATTGCATACATGAATTATTTAATACATGTTTTTTATGATTGCATACATATTATATCAAGAATCCATCTTGAAAGGATATAAAAAAGAAGTCTAGACATTAGTCATTTGGATGTGTGGTGTCGAATAAGATGAAGCATCCGGTCAACAGACTGGTAAGTCTTTCTTAAGGAAAGGCGGGATCCCAAGAACCGGGTTTGATTCGAAGAAATTAACCGGTTTAAGTTCGAAGCTAGCTGCTACCGTCGGCATAACCGGAAAGTCTTCTTGGCACGGTATGTGATGGAAACCAAGTGTATACCACAGGACTATGTCCCTGTTCTCAATCGCACGATCTCTGCTCATCACACAAGAACCATAACGTTAAACCTATACAGTAGGATAAGAGCAATTCAGTATGGTTTATTGCTTAAGCTGCGTACCGGTCCGACCATACTTGTAGCGTGTCTTCACCACGGCTCTGGTACATCAAAAGCCCTCCGGCCCATTGCTCTGACCGATTATACCGAGTCACCCATATCTAAACCAATAAATCGAATTTCATCCGCTATACATCAAATTCATTAAACCGGCCAACCGGAGCTAAATAGGGTACCTGATTGTTTGTGAAAGCGCCTCTAATTTGCGGTGGATCATCAAGATCGAGCAAACTCGCAGCGTTACCACCAGGTACCAGCTTGTAACCGGCCTGATTACCTAACCGAGACGACCGGTTTGTGTTCACAAGATGAAACTCGTAAGGGTCATACAAGTTCAGCTTGATCTGTGCATCTTTCTCAGTCTTGGCTACATATTTCTTGACTTTCAAGTAACTCTTTCTCTTTGATTCTCTCAGTCTCTGCTTCTCTAGATGCACTTTAACGAAAGAGTTATTTTCCGAACCGTCGATGTCCATGTCTAGATGAAACGATACGAAATGGTCGTGGACAACTCCTATAACGTTTTCTGAGATCAACGGTCCAGAATCATCTTCTTTATCACCCAAGTCTTGTACATTCTCGTAAGGTGTCCCTTTCACCATCAACATCCCAGAGGCTGCAACCTATTTATGAGAAGCATTAGAGAAAAATTTAAATGACTAAGCAAGCAATCAAGCATAATGATGTATATATGTTAATTAATGTCATTACCGTAACACGAATCAAACCATCCATTTGAAACTCCCAATCAAAAATATAATCATAGTTCCCAACCGAACTCGCCATTCTAGCTACTAGTGTCACCTTTGGTCTCGACTCCCTGATCTGTCGATATTCATATGATATCATATCATAAAATGAAAATTGAAAATAATCAAAGACGGAGATGGTTTATAGTAACATTATACATTTGTACCAGGGAGAAGAATCTCCGAGTGTCGCCAGCTAATGTCTCCGGCGTAACGTTCAAACAAGCAGATCATGTTAGGTTGCAAGATGGGATTGCCTTGAGGAGAGGCGAAGAGACCGTCAATGTAATAAGCGTTTCGAGGACAGTCGTTAAGCGGCACAAGTGGCATTGAAGAAGGTCCTAGACCAAACTCTCCAGCATCCATGTATGCTTTCGAGTACCAACCTTCGTCGGGGTCCATGTACGGGACGAACAACTCTGACACAAAACCTTTGTACATCACACTTCTTGCTTCACCTGCAATCAAAGAGTTTCGTTGTTGATTAGTATTATTATCAATGTTCTTACGTAAATGTCTTGTCACGTGTACCTGTTTCAGAATCACGTATGGTAGCATGTGAGATGATCAAACCGGCACGTTGGTCCGGTTTAATATGAAAAACCCAGTTCGCCCATTTAACCAAGTATCCATCTTCGACTTTGAAACTTGGACCATCCGGTTGATCCATCGAAATTGAGTTGATGCGGTCCATATGAACCGGTTTATCCAAAAATCCGTACCGGTATTCAGTACCGGTAGAACTGGGAATGGGAACCGGACCTTTGTCTACAATCCTGATAACCTCTAGTTTATCCAAATCGACTGTTAGATAAAGTCCTTCGATGGGTCTCATGTAGAAATTGACTGTGTCTTGCCTCGAGAAACATTGGATGTTTATGACTCGTCGTCCTTCTTCGTCCGGTCCGAACCATCCGGCGAATGGTGTTATGCATATCAAATCGGAGAACGGAACCCCACGCGCTTCGATTGAGCGATTAAACTCCACGCTCTTGAAAGGAACCTACAAGTGGTTAAACCAGGTCAATATAACCGGTTAACTTAGATTTGGTTTGAATATAAACCGGACGGACCTGCGAGGAAGCGATGATGTCATCCATGGTAAGAACAGGGTACCCGGAAGTGGGGCTGGTCAAATCGGAAACGACCCGACCCGAGTCCAGATCAACCGTGAGCACGCGGCTCTTGCCGTTGGACATAGCGAGAACTTCGGCTCTTCGAGGCGGGATAGGATCGCCTTTCTTCCACCGGACGACACGTTGCTTATCCGGCTCGTCGAGTGCCATGGCGTGAATGATGGCAGAGCCAGACCCGAAACCCGGATCATGACCCGAGAGGATGGCTCGGGCTCTCTTCATTTCAGGTGCTGTTAGTGGGTCAAGAGGGTGGTGAGGCTCCTCTAACGAATAGTTGAACCGGGTCTTGGAACTTGACACGGGTAAGAAGATGGAAGAGCAGGTAATGAAGAGAAAAAGGAAGCACAAAAATAAGAGAGGCAACGAAGTTTCCGCCATTGTTAATTGAAAAGTGAGAGTTGACGTTCTTAGTTCTCTCGTAAAGATAAGTTTTGTAACACCGAAGCTGAATCACTACATTATTGTAAAAACCAAATAAACGTGCTCAGTTTCATTGAGTGGGCTATGAGTGGTAACGAAGACTAATACAACCGTGGGGCGGCGGGTAAACTGTTTGTCTCAAAATCACTCCTTTTTGGGACCGTCTTTTGTTTTACTTTTTGTGGGAGATTGGTTTATATCCTATTTACCTTTGATAGGTTGTACTACACTCTACAAAGAGAGTTCGGCGACAGCCAGTTGAGACATAAACGATAGGGAAACAGAAAGTTGACTTATTATACAAGATACTGTATTTTTTTTTTGGTATGAATGTTAAGATTTATACCATTTTCTGAACTTACAATGTTGTTGTTAAACAACTTATTACAACAAAATAAAAAACACAAGCTCCATTACAACAAAGAGAAATACACATCTAAAAGAGAAGGTGCACTTACACTCACGGGCTGGAAAGGAAAGGAGACAGTCACGCATTAGACGGTCGACACTTGCACGGATGGAGGCCACCGTGGAAGATACTGTATTTGGAAGACATCAATTTTGTTTGTGGTTGTCTATTGTCACTGAAATTTCGTGGGCCATACCCATAACCCATCGTACAAGACAAAACAAAATTTCAACTTATTGTATGGTTTTTAGGTGGATCCAAACAAAGTTGAACTTGCTTGATAACAAATACGACCCACTTGCTTGTTCATCCTTTGAGGAAGTCTAAAAGTGTAAACATCAAGGAAATCGCATGTGATGCAATGTGTGGTGTGGTGAAGATTTAAATAGAAATGTTCTGTTTTGTTTATCTTTTTATATCCTGTTTTAAGCCAAGTGTTTCACAAATCCAAGTTCATTCTGAATTCTCTTTTCTGCATATGTACACACGACAAAATTACTTCATACGGCTCAAACTCAAAGCATCCTCAATTACATTAATTTTCCTTTCTTATAGAAAAAAAAAAGCTCTCGAATTTCTTTGATCTTCTTTAAACTTAATCACTTAATTAAAGAATCGCTTTCCTTCTTTCGTCACACTTGCTTTCATTTCCCAAGTCATGGTGCTTCTGTTTGGCCTACTGAATCAGCTACCACTGAAGACAGCGGTTGCGTTTGCTGCTGCTTGGAGAGCCTTTTAATTCTAAGGGTTTCATGAATTGAACGGAAGAAGTCGTGCTTCAGAGCATCCTCTGCGCTGATTCGTAGCCTTGGGTTAACGGTCAAACATTTATCTACAAGGTCAAGAAGCGACCCCGGAATCGCGTCTAGGAAGTCTCTGCGTTTTGTGTTGAGCTCGCACCATTTTCTAAACTCCATCCCCTTCAAATACCTTGCCTCATACAATTCCTGAAATAACATAAACACAAATTTCAAACATCTCATCATCTATCTATTCACTGTATCAGATAATATAATGGACGTTTTAAAGACATTTTACGTTGTGAAGAGCCATATCATGCCACACAAATGCAGTAATCGATGAATATAGAAGTCTACAAGGGTGGTAAGATCCGGATTATTACCTCAGGGAAGGATGATTCACGGTTGTGCAGCTTGGAGAGTTCCCATAATTCTTCACTGCCTCGTAGCTGCGCAATGTCCTTAATATTCCTGAGAATCATTAAGGCATTATAAGAAGGCTATAAAGAAAGTAAAAAGGAATGGAATGAAGTGATAGTAGATTCAGTCAAATACAAATCTTACTGTTCAGGGTCACCAGTGAAAGGTGTTCTTCCCATAATTAGGTATAACAAAGTAACTCCCGCAGACCATACGTCTATCTTAGGTCCTTGGTGCAAAGATCTGAAGCAAACCTGGACAAGCCAATTTAGCCAAGAACAGCCTCAGAGAGTTAGCTTTCCCATACGAGATGTTATAACGCCTAGACATCTTTAGTCTCAACTCTCAAGGCACAAGATTCATATGAGGATCTAACTAGTAACTTGGAAACCTAAACCAACTTGCATTGTTTGACATATAAGCAAAGCTTCAAGGCAAGACAGAGATAGTTACAGTTGATGTACCTCTGGAGCTCGGAAGCCTTTGGTTCCTGAGCAAGGACCGTCTTTCTTCTTAATTACATCCCCTGATAAAGTAAGCAACAAAGTATGATTAGGGTTTAATTTAAACTCCGAAACAAAAACACGAGTCAATGATTACACAAGAGTTCCACCCGCTTCAGGTCGACCATTAGAGCGCAGAGGCATTGGGGTCAGATAACGAAGCTCCTCAGCTTTCCCTGGAAGAGCAGCAACACGTTTTCTCATAGACATAGGAGCTTTGGAAGATGCTTCATTGTTTGGAATTGGACCAGACATTGTCTCCTTCATAAAGTTTAAAAGCTCTTTCCTTCCATGGCATGGTAAAGGCTCTCTCCTCTTTTCAACTGAAGGGTTGTTCCTTGTGCTGGTCACATCTTTGGTCGAAGTTAAGCCAGACCCTTCTGCCCCTTGGCTATTGAATCTCTCCAATCTGCTCATGTCATTCCGAGCTCTTATCTTTCCCGCTGCTTTCTTCAGACTATTCGGCGCTAAAGTTTTCTGAGAAGATTTGTTGGTCACTCGGTTTGTCGAGTCTGGAGATTTAACCAATGTATTATGCTTCTTGCTGGCGGTTGGGAGATCTGTAGCTGCTTTTAATTTATCTACAAAACATATAAGAGATAGCTTTAGTTTACTTTTTTTTTTTACTCAAGTACAGCCCAAATGCGAGAGGAGAAATTTACCTGCTCTCCTGTGCTTCTGGTGCAAATCCTAATTTAGACAGAGGAACATATGAGATTAATATTGGCGGGTGGGAACGTAATACAAACTATGAACACAACATTTGTGTTTGCTCAAGCTTTTCAGTGTCTCTATCAAACACTGACCTTATTACCTCAAATTCTGTTATATGAAACACTAAACAATAACTGTTGCTAGAAACGTATTGATAAGAGAAGAGTGCCAGAGAATTGCTAACCATGGCGAGGTTAAAATCAATAAGATAGCCTTTGTTGGTCTTCATAGAGAAGAGGAAGTTGCCTGGCTTAACATCCCTATGAACAACACCCTTCACATTTGCAGAAAAACACACAAGCGTACTGGTTAGTTGCGTGACTGAAATATGAATGCTTAAAATATCTAGTCCTAAATTCGCGTTACCTGCTTACTAAGACTTGACAGAGCTTTGAACATGCAGTAGCCGTACGACTGTAGCTGATGCACGTCCACTTCTTTCTTAAGAAAATCAGGTCTGTCATGTTCAAGGTGCTCAAGGATGATGCAATCGGAATCTCCATTCTTGAGACAGCCTTCATACTTTATTATAAAGTTTTTCCCCCTAAGTGAATCAACATTTAGGCAATTTCAGATTATTAGGTTAAAAAGGGTAGGAGGTTCATTACGCATCATACTTTGGTACTTACCCAAAACGCTCCAGCATTCGGAGTTCATTATTAACATAGTATTTCTGGGCACCAGCATGGGGACCTGTATAGAAAACACATGAAACATGTTTTCCAACCAAAAACGATGTGATGCAATGAAAAAAATCTAGCAAACATATCAGTTCGTTCCCATACATTTAATGGCAAACTCTTTTCCATCAGTTTTCCTCTTTGCCTTATAAACAATCCCGTAGCCACCTACAGTTGGATTGACCAGTGATTAGCCGATAACCAATTAAGTTGTTTCAACAGAATGAGGAATATAGATGAAATTGTCAGGAAATATTTACCTGAGCCTTCTTCCTCTACAATAGTGTAAGAATCAAAATCTGGAAATGCCTTCTGTTTTGACTGATCCTAAACAACAAAGTAGTAGAAATCTTAACATAGTGGATAAACTCTAAATGTTCATACGAAAGTATTTGAAGCAACATGGAAAGCGGTTTAAATAAAAGCTTTAACAAAAAAAAAAAAAAAGTGGAATTGCAAGGGACTCGTTATAGATGAAGGAAAAAATGTCTACCTTCTGGTCTTTAGGTCGAACGGAGTTCAAATTCTGCTTTGACCTCTGGGTAGCTTTACTTTTCTTGGTGTGTTTTTTCTCAGGGGAACAGCTGTTGTTTCCTGAGGATTTGCACAGATCCTGAGTTTTCTGTACCAAAGATCTATCTTGATTATCTACTGTAGCAGAAGGCTTCAATGGCAGCTCTCTGTGAGGGGTGCTGAAGATGTCTACAGCGTGGTCTTCTTGCTTTAATGGGTTACAACTCGATAGAAGCAGATCTTCAGTGTCCTCCACAATGTACACTGATCTTAACTCATTTTCTGATGGCATGGCAACAGGATCAGACTGCACATTAGGAGTTTGTATCCCAACCTCAGGAAACAAATCCTTCTCTTTTTTCTCCTCATCGTCTTCGATTAGTACTAGGTTGTCAACAATTTCAATATCCCCAATCTCAAGTTGCTCACAATATCCAACCCCTAGAGAAGAAGGCGGCTCTTGCTTGTTTTCTCCTAAGCAATGCCTATGATCAACATCCACAGAGGCATTGGGGAAAATCTCGCAACCAAAAATTCGAGTCTGTGGACCAGAACAAGGAATTTGATTGTGGTCAAATGCTTCAATTTCTCGATCCTCTGCACCTAAAACTAAAAGCGAAGCTTTTGATTCAAAAGCCATAAGAGCCTCAAGCATGGACCCATTGGCAAGAGTTGTGATGTCACTAGCTCTGCTATCTATTACAGGATAGCAATACACCTAGAGAAAAAAATGTCAATAACACAGTTACTCGATTTCCCAATTTTGAAACTCAATTCTACAGATAGAACTTAGATTACTAACATCTTTTCGGCTTCTTTTAGGCAATGGCATTATCTGTAGCTCCTCTTGTTCGTTGAATTCTGAAAGTTTGTTCAAAGCCGAGAGGAGAATCACTATGACTACTACTGAACAACAATTCCAGATGCCAAATAACGAATGAAATGTAAAATTCTGCAAACTTAGTACCTCTCATATGCACGAGACCATTTGGCTTTGGAATGGAAAACATCAAATCCATAAAACGCGTAATCTGGTCAACCAAATCATTTTCCGGCATACCCAGACTACAAGCGAAAGTGGCCGGATCGGAGAGAAGGACGCAGGAGAGAGTCACGGATAAGCAGTCTCCGGTAAGGGATACAGGGGAATTAGGGATCGAGCAAATGATATTTACGAGCTCAGGAGAAGCTTGAAAGTGTGTACGCGGTGAAGAAAGATCTGCGACTAATTCTGAATGGCCAATGGAAAGTAGGTGACGGCATAACTCCACGGCTTTCCGGTAGTAGAAATGCTCGCCTCCGTCTGACTCAATGAGATCGAGATCTATTAGTTCTCCGCTGGCTGCAGACCTCCCGAGTTGACGCGGTTCAGAGGATTCCGACATTGCAAATGCCAAATGGAGTGAGAAACTAGGGATGGAGAAATTAGGGATTGAGAATTTTGAGATTTGGGGAAAATGGATAATGGGCGGGAGAAAGGCGCTTGAGGCACGAGTGACGTCGTTTCGAGCGGACCAATTGATGACGTCACGGCGGACCAATAACGATGGCTTTTCCTTTGATAGATTATGGGTCCAAAAAGATTATGGGTCCATGGCAACCTTCATCTCGTTTATACTAATTAAAGTCATTTTTGAGAACGTAACTCTAAATTGTAGTTTAGTTTGGAGTTTACTTATTGATCATCTTTTAATTTGCTAATTTCCCTTAAATTGAATAGTGATAGGAATGTGAGACTTGATGTTGGTGACACCAACCGCTCTTTCAACGGTTGCAGGATTTTCAGCCATTGAAAAAAATGCAAAGAAAATGAAGAGAAGAGAAGAGAAGAGAAAGGAAGAAGAGATTTAGAACAGAAAACAAAGATGAAAAAGGTTTAGGAGCAATGAAGATCTGATACCTTCAATGTTGATGAATTTTGTTTGAGGGATGCTTGCAGCACCGGCTCTGAGCATGTGCTCACATTGCATTTGCACCTGATTTTTTTTTTTCTTTTTACAATTTTCTTTAAATAATTAGGTCCTAATTATAAAATTTAAGGCCCGAATTTGTAAATATAGAATAATATAGGTAAACTTTAGAAATTGTTTAAGACTTGCATAGGGTCACAAATCATATTTGGATCGAGTCTGGGTACTTATATATACGTGGGCTTTATAAAGTCATAGCTGTTACAACGGTTCCACATAATGTGGGATATACAAACTGATTTACAATAATATTTAAACCAAATAATCCATATTCTATCATTACTAATAGTTCTTTTCTTTGTGTATGATACAATATCTAATTAACCAAGTTAGAGAGCATAATAATTTTCTCTTTATAAAAAAAACCCCAAGGCCTATTTTGGCCACCATCGATAACAAAATCCCAAAGGAGCGTCGGCAATTTCAGTTTGATAAACGATGGCTCGGACAAGACGGGTTTACAGAAGCTTTAGAGAGCGGCTGGACACAGAAACAGAACGATAGAAAAGCAAAAATAGTTGATATGATCAGTGGTTGTCGCCATGCAATCTCCCGGTGGAGGCATGATAACAAACCTTATGGTAAGGAAAAGATTGCGGAATTACAGAAACTACTAGAGGAAGTCCAAAACGACGATTTTCGGACGCAAGAGGAGCTTCTAGAAGTTACACAAAAACTGAAGGAGGCTTATAGAGATGAAGAACAATACTGGAAACAAAAGAGTCGTAATATGTGGCTAAAAGATGGGGATTTAAACACAAAATTTTATCATGCAACAACGAAGCAGAGACGGCGATAAATAGGATGGTGGGTTTACATAATAAAACAGATACTTGGGTTACAGGGGACAAAGAGATGGAGAAAGTGGCGGTTGATTATTTCTCGGAATTATTCACAACCACTTCACCAGATGGTTTCTCGGAAATTCTGGAGGGAATCACGGGACAAATTACAGATACGGATAATATTTTGTTGACAAAACCCGCGACAGAAGAGGAAGTACGATCAGCGCTGTTTTTGATGCACCCGGAGAAAGCACCGGGACCGGATGGGATGACGGCTTTGTTTTTCCAACGGTCATGGCCTATAATTAAAATGGATATACTCCGTTTCATAAATGATTTTTTAGCTTCGGGATGTTTTGATAAGAGGCTTAATATGACGAACATATGTTTGATCCCTAAGACCGAGAGACCAACCCGTATGACAGAATTACGGCCAATTAGTCTCTGTAATGTGGGGTATAAGATTATTTCGAAGGTTTTATGTGAACGTTTAAAAAAGGTGCTCTCCCAGCTGATTTCCGAGACTCAGTCGGCATTTGTCCCAGGGAGACTTATTTCGGATAATATTTTGATAGCACAGGAGATGTTCCACGGGTTACGGACAAATAAGTCATGTAAAGGGAAGTTTATGGCGGTTAAAACGGATATGAGTAAAGCATATGATAGGGTGGAATGGCAGTTTGTTGAGGCTACTATGCGAAAAATGGGGTTTGCGGAACAATGGATTTCCTGGATTATGACATGTATTAAATCAGTAGAATATAAGGTTCTTATAAATGGTCAACCAAGGGGAAAAATTATCCCCAATCGAGGATTAAGACAAGGGGACCCTCTGTCTCCCTATCTTTTTATTCTCTGTACGGAAGTTCTAATATCCAATCTACAGAAGCGGAAAGGCAAAAGACACTGACGGGGTTGAAGGTGGCCCGAGCAAGCCCACCAGTGTCCCATTTATTATTTGCAGATGATAGCCTCTTTTTTTGTAAAGCAACGGTGGAAGAAAGTAAAGTACTTCTAATGATTCTTCAGGAGTATGAAAGGGCATCAGGCCAGAAAATAAACTTTGATAAGTCGTCCATCCAGTTTGGTCATACAGTGGATACTAGTGTCCGTACACAGATCCATCAATTATTGGAAATCCATAAAGTTGGGGGCGTAGGCAATTATCTCGGGATACCAGAGAGTTTGGGGGGCGCAAAGACAAAAAATTTTAGTTTTCTTATAGATAGACAACACAAGAGGATAAACGGATGGACATCAAAAACCTTATCAAAAGGGGGTAAAGAAGTTCTGGTGAAATCAGTGTTATCGGCGATGCCCACACATGTAATGTCTTGTTTTCGGTTGCCAAAAGGGGTAACAAACAAACTCACAAGTGCGGTAGCTAATTTCTGGTGGAGTACTAACTCTCAAACACGGGGGATGCATTGGCTGGCGTGGCGGAAGTTGTGTCGTCATAAAACTAACGGGGGTTTGGGATTTAGAGTTATTGAGGATTTCAACACGGCCTTACTCGCCAAACAACTATGGCGCTTATTGGATAATCCGGAGTCACTTTTTGCTAAAGTCTTTAAGGGAGATATTATCGGAACTCATCCCCTCTAGACCCAATACGGTCTTACTCCCCGTCCTATGGATGGCAGAGTATGATCTCGGCTCGACCTCTGGTTCACAAAGGGCTTATTAAAAGAGTTGGTTCAGGATCTTCTATCTCAGTATGGTATGATCCATGGATTTCTGACTCTCGCCCGAGGTCAGCTATATGCAAGGGAATTAATTACTATCCTCATCTAATGGTGAATCAGCTGATTAATTCTCAGACATCAACGTGGAATCTCCCACTATTACACCAACTGTTCGAAAGTACAGAAATTGCTCGCATTACGGGTATTACAATTGCAACGGGGTACAGAAAAGACACTTGTGGGTGGCTTTTCACCAAATCGGGGCGATATACGGTTAAGTCAGGCTATAGGGTTCTACAGGAGCTTGCGGATGAAGATGTGATACCGGTATTTGGGCCAGATGTCCGTCGACTGCAAGCACAGTCATGGAAAGTTAAATGCACTACAAAGCTTCAACATTTCATTTGGCAGATTATCTCGGGATGTTTATCGGTTGGTGCACGGTTATGCAGTAGGGGGATGCGTGTGGATCCCCTATGTGTGCGATGTGGTATGGGAGATGAAACAATTAATCATATGTTGTTTGAATGCCCACCAGCCCGCCAGGCCTGGGCTCTATCCCCTATCCCAACGCCTACAGTCCTTTCCTACGGATGCACTTTTCTCTAATATGGCACACCTCTTTTGGGGTCTTCCAAAGGATGATGATATGCTCATATTTCCTTGGTTATTATGGTTCATTTGGAAAGCACGTAATTATAAAGTCTTTTCAAATGATGACCATGATCCGCCGGGATGTTCTGGAATCAGCGATAACAGAAGCACGTGCATGGGCTACTGCACAAACGGGAGAAATAATTGGACCAATGGCTAGGGTCTCATATCCACGGACTGAGATCGAGGGTGAATGGTGCCAAATAGATGGAGCATGGAAAGACACAGAGTGTCGAGCGGGTCTTGGTTGGTATAACTTTGATCCCGCGTCATGGTTCAATCTTGGTGGGCTCATGTAATTTACGGCGAGGTTTATCACCTCTGCAGACAGAATTGGAAGCATTAGTTTGGGCTATGCAAAGTATGCTAACCCACAACAAAAGGCAAATGAATTTTCAAACAGATTGTTCAGAGTTGGTAACCATGGTGTCAAAACCTCAGGACTGGCCGGCTTTTGCGATTTTGCTTGAAGAGGTGGAGAAGTGCAAAAGGAGTTTCCAGGCGTTCTCTCTAACTCATATCCCAAGGACGAAGAACACGAAGGCGGACAAGCTAGCACGGAGTGCTCGAGATCAGCCTTATGACGTGTATTATGTAAACACAGTTCCACCGGTCACGCTTCCCGTGCCGAATTAGGAACTTATGCTGTCGACAAAAAAAAAAAAAACCCCAAAAATTATTGATTAGGAAATGCACAAAAATAAAAAGACCATGAAAACATGTATCAAAAATCAAAATATTAAACATGTGAAAGAGATAATAATAAGATATTGTTGAGTATATTACCTAGTGGTTCTCATTTGAAAGAAGTTATTATACGATTTTGATCATGATCAATTTCAGGCGTGAAATTATTAAAACCATTAGTATTAATCTTGTTTACGGTTATAGTATTTAAACTATATTGCTGAATAAAGCAACCTCTTGAAGCATTAAAGATCGTAAGTTTTTACTCACCACCACTAATTTCTAGATATCTTAAAGTGTGGATTTATGAACTTTGTATTAAAATCAGGTTTGGATGAATAGTTTGGTGGGTATGTAAAAGTATACTAGTAAATGTTACATGATTAATGAAACACTCTCATTGCTCTAAAAACTTTTGATACGCCTACATTTGTATATGTCTATCTTAATCTTTCATAGATTTTGAATCGACGAATTGTGTTATGGAATTTTGTATTGACAGATTAAGGGATTGCTAAAGAAAGAGAGGGTGATATTTTCCATTAGAGCAACACGAAGTTGCTACTAAGAGTTGTTCTATTTCATAAACAAGTATTAGAAAGTTAAGTTCTTGAGTGTGTAGTCTTTTATTATAAAACCAAATCCTGAATCTCTGTCCTATTGTATGAAGAGTTGGGTGTTTCATGGGGAAAAATGACATTTAAATCCCGAACTTTCAAAATTCGGCCATTTTAACCACCAACTTTTACGTGGACTAATTATATGACAAACTTATGTTGACTTTAGTTTTAAATCCCAAACTTTTGTTGACTCGGCCAAATTAGTCCCGGCGTTAAGTTGCCTAACAGACCAAATAAACATCGTTAAATCCACCTTAAAAACCTCTGTTAAGTAAAACGATGTCGTTCTAAAAACTCAGAAAACCACCCAAATCAAAACACTTTCAAACCCTAAGTTGTAAAATCGATTTCTCTTCAGAATTCCCAAATCGATTTCCACTCAGCTTTAAATTGATTTCTCTCTTTTTCGATTTCTTCCTTTTCGATTTCTAACTACTATCGAATGAGATGACAAAAGCAAAACGAAAAGCAGTATCACGCAAAGGTGAAGAGATTGACGATGGAGGTGATGGTGAGCCTGAAATTGACGATGGAGGTGATGATGAGCCTGTAATTGAAGATGATTGTGGCGTTGTTGGTGATGATGATTGTGACGATGTTGATGATGGTGATGATGAAGAAGATGATGAGAACGACGTGAACACTTCAGGGGTCGTAGAAGAAGGTTGTGAAGACTTAGTACAACATTTTGGAGAGGCTGCAAGAGATGATGAATCTGGGAGTGATGCAGATAGTGGAGATGATATATGGGATGATGAGAAGATTCCCGATCCTATGTCATCCGATTCTGACGACGACGATGAGGACGAAGAGCAAGGGCAGCGAGAGAATGACGATCCTGATCAGTTGCTAGCATTAGGAAAAACTTTTAATACTCCTGAAGATTTCAAGCTTGCGGTTCTAAGGTACTCACTGAAAACTCGTTATGACATCAAGCTATACAAGTCGCAAGCTATGAAGATTGGGGCAAAGTGCTCGGACACCGATGTTAACTGTGGATGGAGAGTTTACTGTTCTTATGAGAAGAGGAGACATAAGATGCAAATAAAGGTGTATGTGAATAACCATACATGTGTGAGATCAGGTTACACGAAGATGTTGAAGCGATCAACAATTGCATGGTTGTTTTCAGAAAGATTAAGAAAGAATCCACATATTACAAAACAGGAGATGGCTGCTGAGATCAAGAGAGAATACAACTTGGTTGTAAGTGACGACCAATGTGGGAAGGCGAAATCAAAACTCATGAGAGAAAGGAAAGCTAGTCATGAGGCCCATTTTGCAAGGGTATGGGATTATCAAGCAGAGATTTTTCAGACTAATCCACACACCAAATTTGAGATTGAGACTATCCCAGGTCCGACCATTGGCAGCAAAGCAAGGTTTTATAGGTGTTATGTTTGTTTTAGTTCACAAAGAGAGTCATGGAAACAAACATGTAGGCCTATCATAGGCTTAGATGGTGCTTTTCTGAAATGGGATATAAAGGGTCATCTTTTAGCTGCTGTTGGTAGAGATGGAGATAACAGGATAGTGCCCATTGCGTGGGCAGTAGTCGAAGTAGAGAATGATGATAATTGGGACTGGTTTATCAAACAACTCTCTGGAAGTTTGGATCTTGGCGATGGCAGAAAAGTTTCAATCATATCCGATAAACATAAGGTTAGTATCATCATTGGAAAATAATCATTTATACTTTTTGTTTGTAATCTTACATCTTATCATCATTTTCTTTACAGAGTCTTGTTAAAGCGGTGAAGAACGTTCTTCCCCAGGCTGAACATAGGCAATGTGCTAGACATATTATGGAGAATTGGAAGAAAGACAGTCATGATAGAAAACTACAAGAGCTGTTTTGGAAGATAGCTCGCAGTTACACTATGGGAGAATTTACGGACAATATGGAAGCATTGGCAAGGTACAATCCTTATGCTTTCGCAACTCTGCAGGATACTAATCCTAAGTCTTGGTCCAGGGCTTTCTTTAGGATAGGTTCTTGCTGCAATGATAATCTAAACAATCTGAGTGAGTCTTTTAATAGAACCATTCGTCAAGCAAGGAAAAAACCTTTACTGGAATTGTTAGAAGATATTAGGCGACAGTGTATGGTACGTAATGCAAAGAGGGCTATTATTGCTGGAAGATTGAAAAAAAGATTCACAGTTAGAGCTCACGAGGAGATAGAAAAGATGATAGCAGGGTCGCAATTTTGCATTAGATATATGGCCAGGGATGATTTTCACGAGGTTGAATTAAATAATGATCGTTATTGTGTGGATATGAACACGCTAACATGTGGTTGCAAGAAGTGGCAAATGATTGGAATACCATGTGTTCATGCTGCAAGTGTTATCATAGCAAAGAAAAGGAAGGTTGAAGATTATGTGAACGACTACTATACAACAAGAATGTGGCAGGAGACATACAGAAGAGGTATTAAGCCTGTCGAAGGCATGAAAGTGTGGCCTAGATTGAATAGATTACCTGTCTTGCCACCACCATGGAGAAAAGGCAATCCTGGTAGGCCAAGTAACTATGCCAGGAAGAAAGGCAAAAATGAATCTGCGTCAAAATCGAGCAAGACGAAGCTATCACGAGCTTTAAGAGTTATGACATGCTCAAATTGCAAAGAAGATGGGCACAACAAGCAAACTTGTGAAAATCCGTTTGTTGAGAGTCAACCTAAACGACCAAGGGGTCGGCCAAAGAAATATCAGGTTTGTGTCTTTCCATACTATCAAATCTGACATGAATATTCTGATTAGTTGAATATAAAATAAAATATTTGAAACAGGAAGGAGATTCACAAGCTCATGGCCTTTCACAAGCACAAAGAGTCTCACAAACAGAAACAGTTTCAGAACCACAAGGAGTCTCACAAGCAGAAAGAGTTTCACAACCACAAGGATTTTCTCAAACACAGGGATTTTCAAAAAGAAAAAACGGAGCTGCACAACCACAAGGGTCTCAAGGACAAGGATCACAAAGAGAAAGAAGACATGGAGTTGCAAAGCCACAAGGATTTGCAGGACACGGATCACAAGGAGAAAGAGAAGGAGTTTCACATGCTCAAGATCAAGGTTCAGAAGGAAGATGGGCACAAAGACAAGGATCTCAAGGACAAGTATCTCAAGGACAAGGATCTCAAGGTTGGGGACCATGGTTTTGATGTTTGGTCACAAATCTTTGAAATGTATTTCTGGCATTCTGTTTTATGAAACTATGCGGATGGGATCATGGTTTAGTGTTTTGACATTTTATTTTTGTTATTAGGGATCATGTGTTTTAGATTTGTGAACTGGTTCTTTTTTTTGTTGTATCAGATTTTTGATCATGGTTTGTCATCATGGTTTTGCTGGTTTTGTATCAAACATTTTTTATGCTTTCATCTTTGTTCATGAAATGTTTTTAAATCCACATTATGCGATGAAACACATAGCAGAGAAAGAACAGAGCAGAGAAAGAAAGAAGGAAACAGAGAGAGAAAGAAAGAAGAAAACAGAGTGAGATGGGAACATTGTGAACTGTTTATTACGACATATTATTCAAAGTTGGAACTCATTGGAGCAGGAACTAGAAGAGAGGAGAAATCGGAAGGGAAAGGAGAATTTGATCTGTTAAGGATTACAATCAGATGAGAGGAGAGATCGAGAAGAATCGATTTGGGAATTCTGAAGAGAAATCGATTTTACAACTTAAGGTTTAAAAGTGTTTTGATTTGGGTGGTTTTCTGAGTTTTTAGAACGACGTCGTTTTACTTAACAGAGGTTTTTAAGGTGGATTTAACGATGTTTATTTGGTCTGTTAGGCAACTTAACGCCGGGACTAATTTGGCCGAGTCAACAAAAGTCTGGGATTTAAAACTAAAGTCAACATAAGTTTGTCATATAATTAGTCCACGTAAAAGTTGGTGGTTAAAATGGCCGAATTTTGAAAGTTCGGGATTTAAATGTCATTTTTCCCGTGTTTCATGGCAATGTTAAATCAAATTTCTTCTATAAATCACTTACAGTTTGGAACAAATATCAATCATGACGTCATAACTGAACCATCTTTATCTTTTTTTTTTTTAACAAGTGCCATCTTTATCTATACCCACTAAAATGGATATTACCATTTTCACGGTAATAACAACCTTTCATTGTTTCCCAAAACAACTATGCTCAGTGGTGAAAACTGAAAACTTTAATAATTTATGTCTCACCCACTTTAGCCCATCCTTTGTTCCAGCTTTGCCAACAAAACAAAGCTTCGTTAGCGTAAGTTTAAATAAGGGTACCTTTAAATAACCTCTAGCGAAAAAGTCTTATATATGTATGACAAAAACAAAACACAATTTAAATTTACCCGAAAAGTTCATAAAACTGTCGCTTTTACACAAGACACAAAAGCACTAAACGGAACAACTACAAATCAATCTCTTTTATTATCACCGGAGAAGTAAATATGACAAGACCGCGTTTTTGCGCGGCGATAGAGAAGGTTTAGTGTCGGTGAGATCAGGCTCTCTTGTTCCTTCCGACATGATTTGAAGAGTGTTAGAAAGCTTTGAAGTTGTAACAACTATCCACTAACATCATTGATTATTTTCTCTCTGTTCTGAAAATAGATATAATTTTCCTCATGTTTTAATTTGGAACCGTTGGATGGTTCGGCGTATTCAGAAACCGTTGGATGGTTCGGCGTATTCAGAAACCGTTGGATTCATCATCTACCACACTTTTTTTTGGTTTTGTCAAAACTTTTTCATTTCAATTTTCATCAATTCCCAGTTACACTTGTCCTTCCTTGATCAACAACCACTCATCCATGGCGATATCTGAAGCTCATCCTCTGCTTCTTCTCTTCTTATCAATCTTCCTCTTACCTACTTTGCGCGCCACTTCTTTCCACTACTGCGGTTTGTTCCTAACCCTCTTCTTGATGATACATGTGAAATTAGGGGTTTTTCGGATTGTTGCTTGAACAAATCCAGTCGTATCATAAACTTTTGCATCTTTTACTCTTGAATTTTGGTTAATTTAAGACTAATACTTATGACTAATTGCTGCTATCAGTTTGAGGGTCAAATCTTGCAAGAAATGCAGTTTTTTGGTTTTCAAGAAAGTTTCACTCTCTTGAAGCACGAGTTTGAGGGTTAAATCTTGCAAGAAATGCATGCAGTTTTTGGTTTTGAAGAAAGTTTCACTCTCTTGAAGCATGTAATGTGTAGATTAATCAATTTCATGGAGGTTAAGTTCGTTTTTGTAGAAAGCTTTGTTTAACCTTTCATCAATCACTTGCAAAAGAGGGACTTTTTTTGGTTATGTAGATACTAAATGCAGTTGTTCTCTGTTCTTGATTATGTTATTACGGAAGAGAGACCCTTTCTGTTTGATTCACTTTGAACAATTTCTTGCCAAGAATGAGAAGTCAACAGATCGCATAAAGTATTTCTTTTGCATGTTTCTTTTCAGTAACAAATATACTTTAATCTTCTCCATTCATTGGTATGTTACTGGTCTTTTGGTTTGCTTGTTAGGAACTGGATTTATTTTGCTCTTGAACTGTTCAGTCTAATGCTAATTTTGGAAACTCTTGATTTTGTTGTAGATAAGAAGCTCGACCCCGTTAAGGTCAAGGGTGTGGAGATCTCTCCTTATCCGGTTGTAAGTGGCAAAGCGGCGACATTTAAGATTTTGGGTTCTACTGGTAAGTAATTCCCTTTTTATGATCTTTGACTCTGTTATTAAAAATTTGTAGAGCATAGTTCTAAATGGCAACATTCCTTGTGTGAATAGTTGAAAACATATCTGGAGGAAAAGTAGTGATCAAGGTTTCACTCTTTGGAATTCCTGTCCATACCGAAACTCACGACCTCTGCGATGAGACGGCCTGCCCGATCTCACCAGGAAGCCTTGTCCTTTCTCATTCCCAAACATTGCCTTCATTTGCACCACCTGTAAGATTTCATAACACTCTTTTGCATTAGAAGATAAACGTTATCAACGAGCATCTTGGTTTTTATCTATGTGCTTGAACTTAGGACATGTTTGCTATGTTCATTTGGCAAATGCTTTTGAGATTGCTTCTCATTTGTCTTATACTCGCAGCTTCCTTGTTCTAACAGTACGTCTATTTAAAACAGGGCACGTACACGCTTAAGATGACGATAAACGACAAGAATGGCGGCAGACTAACATGCATCAGCTTCAAATTCAAGATCACATTAAGTTCCACGGTCTTTGTTAGTTAAGTTTTCTGGTGAAATATGTTTTGTGTCTATTGTAAAACTCTCTTGTATACACAGACCAGTCTGTCATGTCCCAAATAAAGTTGCTCTTTTGAGTTGAGGCTTGACTATGATCTGCATTTAAACACAGACCAATCTTTCTGTATACTTACAATAGAAACTCTAAACCCCAACAAGATCCGACCTGTGAACACATCTTAATCAAACAGAAGTTGGTTCCTAATAGTTCTTAGCGATTTCAGAATCAGGTCTTAAGAAAAGAGATTTATCAAAACTAATTAAAAAATGAATTTAACATCCTTTCCGTTGGGGCCCTGGACCCCTTTCGAGGGGATAGTCGGGTTTTCCATTCGGGTTAGATCCTCGGAATAACTAGATACAGCTGGACAAAGCTCAGATTATCGGTTTGGACCCAGGGCTGGTCGGTGACTGTTCGATCGACTCCTCGAACCCGGATACCAGAGATACCAAAAAAAAAAAAAAAAATTGAAAAATGAAAAATTGTAATAAACAATAAAAATAAATCTGAAAAATTATTTTTGTTAAAAGATGCAATTGTTCGTAAGGTCAAACAGTTAGAAGCGAAACGATGCTACACGAAAAGACACAATTGTGTGGATCAGTAATTATGCGATAATTTTACAAACACAATCATACAATGCATGAATGTATTCAGTTTTCTATTATATTTACGTTCAACAATAAAAATAATGTATTTTTGAACCGTTGCACAGAGCTGTTCGTAGTTTCCTTTTTAAGTTTCACCTTACCTCAGGTTAAAATAGTAAAACCACCTCAAAAACAAACCCTAATCTTCTTCCTCCGCCGTATCACAAAAACCAGAGCTGTGTGAGTGTGACACAGAAAATTAATATCAATTTCTGAGCCACACAATCCGGTTTCTAGGTTAAGAAATTGGATTCGGGGTTTTCGATCTCTGAGTCATGCCAAAGCGTAGCGATGAAAAAATTGTTTTTGACGATGGAGAGGACGAGGACATTGCAGATCCAATTGCCATTAGAGCTGGCTCCGACGAAGAAGAATCCGAAGACGACGAGGAGGCTAATGAAGATCTCAGTCTGAAGATATTAGAGAAAGCGTTGTCAAGGCGCGATTCCGATGATTCGAAAGAGACGAGTATGTCGGAGCTCAACGGTTCTGGCGTAGTGAGTACTGTGATGGTTAATGGAGAGAAGTCAAAGGGTAATAATAAGCTGAAGAAGAGAACAAATCTAGAAGATGAGGAAATTGTTAGTTTGAACGATTCTCTATTCTCTCATTACTGTTTCAATTAATGTTTCTTCTTCTTCCTCCATACGTTTAAATCAGCTGTCTTTGACTTGCAAATTTTGCTAAAGTTTGATGCTTTTGTTTTAATTGTCGATTTTTTACCTAAATTGTATCAGTCCATTGCTGCAAAAGACAAAGATGTGGAGAACATGGTGGAAGATTCAATTAAAAGGGAAGAGGTCGATGATGAGGCTGAGAAATCTGCTGAGCCATCAAGCAATTTGGTTTTGAAAAAGCTTCTTGTGAGTTGAAAATCACTCCTCTTTATCTCCCATTTGTGTTTGTATGCGTCTCTCTGTGTGATGATCATTGTTGGTGGGTCTTGTGTTATCAGCGTGGAGCGAGGTACTTTGATCCTCCTGATGCTGGTTGGTTGTCTTGCTACAGCTGTGGAGAGCAAGGTCATGCAACTGTCAATTGTCCAACTCCTACCAAGCGTAGAAAGCCTTGCTTTATATGCGGGAGCTTGGAACACGGTGCCAAGCAGTGTTCAAAGGTACGGTAATGCGTTTTTAAGGCTGATGTATAAGCTCGTTTAAGTGGTTTTAGTGTAGTTATGTGGTTACCATGGAAGTTTTAGGATGACGGGTTAAGTTATTGCATAGGGTTGGTGAGTAGAACTAAATTCTTGCTTGTTTTCTACAGGGACATGATTGTTACATTTGCAAAAATAGTGGCCACCGAGCGAGAGATTGTCCGGATAAGTATAAAAGCGGGGCTAAAACAGCTGTATGTTTAAGATGTGGAGACTTTGGACATGACATGATTTTGTGCAAGTATGAGTACTCTCGGGATGATTTGAAGGTAACTTTGTTTTCCTGAAACTCAATACTATGCATACAATCAAAAGAAGACGGTATAAGGGCTTACCTTTCTTGATTTTCTGATTGCGTTAGTATAGTTAGAATATATGGTATGTCAGACAAATGGTAACGCTTTCTTGAATCATTTACTTTGACCAGGATATACAATGCTATGTCTGTAAAAGGTTTGGCCATCTATGCTGTGTCGAACCTGGTGATTCACCGACATGGGCTGTATCTTGCTACAGATGTGGTCAACTGGGTCACATTGGACTGGTAAGTTGTTGAGTTTCTGATTTTAAAACATCCACACTGTCGATTGAGTTTGCGTCTCTATTTAGAATGGGTCTATTATCCTTTTAGTCTATATAGAGATGCAGAGTTCATTATCTGATCAATTTTTTTTGTTGTCTGTCTAGGCATGTGGTAGATACTATGAGGAGAGCACTGAAAAAGACTCTGCTAGTTCATGCTTTAAGTGTGGGGAAGAAGGACATTTCTCCCGTGAATGCCCGAACTCGTTGAGCATAAGCAATTCACAGGGCAGAGACTCACCGAATTTATGCTACAGATGTTTTGGAGAAGGACATTTTGCTCGTGAATGCCCAAATCCCTCCTCCCAGGTAGGCTCTATCTCTCTCTCTCCCTCTCTCTCCATCCATTTGGTGCTCTGATCTCTCTCTCTCTCTCATATTAGGACTCAGCGTTCTCTTTTCTCTACGTGTAGGTTTCTAAAAGGAACCGCGAGACATCGACACCATCACTCAAATCGCACAAGAGATTTAAAGAAGCCTTAGAATACAACTCTACTCCCCATGTGTCCAACGGGAAGAAGAAGAAGAAGAACAATAGAGAGAACTCAGAACACTACTCTACTCCCCATGAGTCCAACGGGAAGATGAAGAAGAAGAAGAATGTAGAGAACTCGGAACACAACTCTACTCCCCATGAGTCCAACAGGAAGAAGAAGAAGAAGAATATAGAGAACTCGGAACACAACTCTACTCCCCATGAATCCAACGGGAAGATGAAGAAGAAGAATAAAGAAAACGCAGAACACAATGCTAATCCTCATGAATCCAATGAGAAGTCAAAGAAGAAGAAGAAGAAAGGACTTAAGGGAGATCAGCCCCAGATCTCTCCACATAAATCAAATCAGAGAGGAGGCTGGATCACAGAGGAGCCAGAAGAAGATTATTTCCAAAGGGAAACGATCAGGAGGCCGAGGTCTCCCATTACACCATCAGGTCATTACCACCACAGATCTCCCATTACACCATCCGGTCATTACCACCATCGGTCTGCCATTACACCATCCGATCATTACCACCATAGGACACCAACATTCAATTCCGGTGGGCATTACCAGGATACTCATTCGACCACACCATATGGCAGAAACCATAGAGTTTCATCATTCGAGTCTTATGAGCATCGCTCGGCTCATCCTCCTCCAACATGGCAGCGTGATTACCCACCTACCTCTTCCCATCATCATCACCACCATCAGCAGCATCATCAGCACAACAGATATGCTCCTGCACCCTCGAGGTATGGTCCAGCTCACCGCTATGGTGATTTTTCAGGAAACTATGATCGGTGGTAGTATCTATTTATATGGTGAGAGACGACAATCTAGCTCGAAGTCTATTTTATTATACTTGTTGGTTATAGCCTTCCTCAGACCTCTTGTATTTGAAGTAGTTTGTTCAATCCCTCATTTCTTTTCTCTATTTCAACTGCTCAAATTTTTCCTTCTGTTATCTGTTTTTAATTTAAACTATGAAAAAGAATTTTGTATTTGTTATGAAATCATGATTTCATTTATAAAATTGATTTTGTTTTTTATAATCTGGAGTCTTGAAAATAGTAATAATCTAGAGTCTTGACAAATGGTTGGGACTCATAATCTAGAGTTTTGACAAATTGTTACTCATTATCTTGAGTTTACACTTAATTTCCACACCAAGTAGCTTTCAACGATGTCTAAGCCACATAGCTCCTTCACAACCGGCATTGTAGCCGGAACAGGCAACTGAAATGTTGAGCCTGGACCATCTTCACCTTTCCATATCCTTAGCTGTTTTCGAGCTTCTTTAACCGCCTCTCTTGTCGCACAGTGCACAGAAGCTGCCAGTAACAACGGAGGCTCTCCTGAAGCTACATTAACACAAAACCACAATATGATCAAAAACAGTTTGATTGCAGGTATATGAAAACGTTTTGTCTAAGGGAAGACGACTTACCTTTGGAAGAGAGAACACGTTTTTCATTGCATCCACTGTTCAGCATCTCGACATTGAACTGTCTAGGAATGGTGTCAATGGTCGGGATCTTGTATGTCCATGTACTGTCTGTCACAACGAGTCCTTCTGAATCTGTTATGTACTCTTCAAGCATGAAAAAACCAAGTCCTTGTACAAAAGATCCTTCAATCTGAAGAACAAAGAACAAAACACACATCATAACAAGAAATGTATGTGAAGACGATGAATCAATGTGTTTTCTGTGCTCTCTTTATTCATATACCTGTCCTAAATCAACAGCCGGATTCAGGCTTTTTCCGCAGTCATATAAGATATCTGTCTGTAGAACCGTGGTTTGTCCGGTCACAAGATCTACTTCAACCTATATGAACACCATTGAAACACTCAAATTGTAGATTCTAAATGACTTAGAAAAACTAAACCAAGATCGAACTTGCCTCGCTAACTGCAACACCGTAGTTCAAGTATTGCGATGAAGTTTGTCCTGGAGCATACAAGTCACTAGCTGATAAGTTCACAGACTGAGCATAGGCCTGCGTTTGGAAGATAAGAATCAAGAATGGAATTTCAAGAAGCTAAATCAAGAAGCAGAGAGGTCAGTGGAAGAAAAAACAAAACAAACCTGAGAAATCAACTTATTCCAGCTCATGGGACCATCTGATCTCTCTATCAAAGGTTTCAATCTTTTGACTAAAGTTTCACAACAGAGACGAACAGCTGAACAGCTTCCTTGAGATGTTGTACTACCTCCTGTAAAGTTTCCTTGGACCATACTCAATGTATCTGATTGAACAACTCTTATCTTCTCCAACAGCTCTTCACTTCCATCACATTGCAGCGAACCAAGAACATAACTAGTCATCTGCTTCACTTTTGTCCATAACCCTTGTCCTAACTCGATTCCACCAACCTCAACAACGATAGTCCCATCGCTTAAAACACTAACTCTCCCTGGAGTTGCATACATATTAACCGGATAAGTGATGGGTACTCTTGATATCCCTCGTTTCCTCCATATGTTAGACTCATTGAACTCTCTAACAACCGAAACCCGCTCTTCGAACTTCGAAGACACCCCTAGTTTATCCCACATTGAAGGCAAAGTATACTCATGTGGCTCACCGGCACTATCCTTGTAGAACAAAGCTAGGCTCTCATATGTATGGAGATTAATCTTTCTTATGGTATCAGCCTCCAAGGAGAGACTAGAAGCTACATTTTCGATAATGGCCTCAGCAATATAAGTACCCTGAACATCCCCGGGACCTCTCATGATTGCTTTGCTTAGAAGATTTGTTTTGCAAAGCTTCACATCAAAAGACAAGGCTCCCCAATTATACTTCTTGAGAGCTCCAATGACATTTGATGGCATCATCACACTTAGACCAAGAGTAGCCCCTGCATCAATCAGTATCTCTAGCTCCAAAGCTGTGATCTTCCCTGTGGATTTGAACCCCACAGTGTAAGTTATCTTCATTGGATGCCTCCCACCAGTCATGATCATATCGGTTTTACGGTTAACATAAGTCCTTACAGGACGCTGTAGTTTATGAGCAGCAAGAGCACACGCTGTTGCAACCTGATCAAAATCAATGCAAAAGCTTTTTTGAGGGTTTGGTCAAAAAGTGAGCAATAGAAAGAGGACATTCTTTTGAAGAACTTACAGGGATTGCTTTTACAGCTTTTCCTCCAAAACCTCCACCAACACGTCTCGTTATGACACGAACGTTGTTCTCAGGGATGCCTAAGCAAGTAGCGACTGTGGTGTGTACGTACTGAGGCATCTGACATGAGCTATAGACAACCATGGAGTTGTCTTCATCTGGCACTGCAAGAGCTGTTTGTGTCTCCATGTAGAAGAAGTACTGTGACCCCAGTCTAATCTGTTTTCAAACATCAAAGTTATAAAGACTGTAACATATATTACATCTATTGAAAAATGTGTAAACTATAATACATACTTCCGAGCTGAGAAGTCGATGCTCAGCTTCAGCCATCCCTTTTGATGTGTCACCAACTTGTTGTGGGTATAAGAAAGGGAAAATCTCGAAAAAACTCTGTTTCTTGACCGCGTCTTCCAGTGTTAAGATCGGTGGTTCCAAATCCTCTGTTTCGTATTCAACCACTGCAAGATTTGCTGCAGCATCCGCATGTCTCTGCGTATCTGCAACCTGCAAAAAAACTTACAAAGTGTTAACCAAACTCAAACTCAAACTAAAGCTCATGGACAAGTACATATATGTTTAGACTCACCACGAGGGCAATGCAGTGTCCTACACTATTGGTGAACTCTTCAGCGAATAAAGGCTCAGTGCCCAAAGAAAACTTCAAACCAATATTCTCTCCACTTTTTGGAATATCCTTGCAAGAAATGACTGCAAGAACTCCATCAGGTACAGAGCTTTCCTTGAACCCTATACCTTTAATCCGAGCGTATGGCTTCTTGCTATAGATGAAAGCTCCATAGAGACAGTTTGCAGGAGCTGGAATGTCATCAACGTAGACAGCCTCACCGGAAGCTTGAAGAGAAGCTCCAGATTTAGTAACAGGCTGACCAACCGGATGATATTCATTGTGTATAGGAACAATCTGTGAAGAAGACAACACTGGCAATGGCTTCTGCGGATCACAGTGGTAACCATTTGAAGGTTTATCTTTAGTCTGAGTTATCAAACTGCGAAGAAACTCGAAAAGGAAGCCTCCCGCCAAGCTTGATCTGTAAGCAGGATTGCTTGTACCGTCCTGAGGCACAATGTTCTTGCCAAGAATGGTAACAGCTTCATGCAGAACCTTTTCAGTGATCACTTTCCCACAGAGATACTCTTCAGCTTCTTTACATCTAATGGCATGTTTCGTCCCATAAGCACCAAAAGCCAATCTACAGCTAACCACCATTGTATCCTTCACCTGAGCTAAGAAAGCAGCGTTGAGGTAAGCCAGAGCACTTCCCTGTGGACGCGGTGCAGCTCTATAAGTCTCAAAACGCAACTCAGAGCTCGTTTCACAGCGCGGAAACGGAATTTCTATACTCAAAACAAGATCATGAGCCTCAAGAGGAGATCCCTCAAGAAACTCTTCAAGTGTTTGCTTCTCAATTCCTCTTGACAAGCTCATTGTGTTAACCAACGCACCAGCTGCAAGAAGTATTGTAGCCATGTCAGAAGGAAACTGTCTCCTCTGAGCCATCACAAGATTCCCTCCAATGCTGCCAAAGTTCCTGATGAACCTCGCCGCGATCTTCTCCATATGAACAGCGAGTTTCCCAAACATTTTGACCTTAACCTCCTTCAGAGCAGCGATAACTTTAGAAATTGTCACCACAGCTCCAATCTCAACCCCACTGTGACTTTCTCTGATCTCTTTCATCTCCGGAATTCGAGTTAAATCAATGTATTTGTCATAACTCTTCTCTCTTTCATCCTTATAGTATCCTGTCCCTGTGTTACCAGCAACAAGTTTGATAGAAACTCCATCACCATTAGCCTTAAAACCTTCCAACAACCTCTTAAGCTCCTCAACACTCTCCGGGCTGCACCATTTGTACACTCCTGACTCCATAGACTTAATCTCATCCTTGAGAAACTCCGGAAACGTACAGACACGTTTCTCACTGTCAAACCGAGGCAAGCAATCACCTTTCTTGCAGAAAGAGTTGAATCCAAGATCCTCAATATCTACATCACAAGCAAAACTCTTGCAAGCGTCAACAATCGGACGGTATCCGGTACACCGGCATAAGTTCCCTGAGACGGCTTTCTCCGCCTCGACAACGGTAAAGGCAGAGGCTTTCGACTTGTCAGAGTCTAGGAGAGCAGAGAAGAGAGAGACGGACATCCCCGGTGTGCAGAAACCGCATTGAGAGGCGTGGAAACCGGAGAACCGGTTGTGAATCGAGTGGAAACCGTCTCTGCTGTTGCCAAGTCCTTCTGATGTTGTGATGCTGCAACGGTTTACGCTGCAGAGGAGTGTGAGGCAAGAGCTGACTGTGAAATCTTCGACATTTTGTTGGATGGGATCGTATTTGGAGAGGAGAACAACACAAGCGCCACATCCTCCTGAAACCAAAACAACAAAATCAGATGAAAATGAAGAAGAAAAGGAGAGATTTTTCTATCAGGAAAATGACTCGCCTTCGCCACAACTTAGCTTAACGCTCTTGAAAGTAGTCTGATAACGGAGAAACTCCAACAAAGTTGTTGAAGGGTCGACGGAGGAGAGCTCAAGCTCGAACCTTTGTCCATTAATGGCGAAAACCAAGCTCATACTCTCTCTCTCTCTCTCTCTGTGTTTCTCTATCTTTCTCTCTCTCTCTCTCCGTATCTCTCTCTCTAATCAGTTTCGGTATTTGAAGTAATGCTTTGTCCACGTATGAAAAGAGATTAACGACTCTGATTTGAGAGATCTTTCAAGGGTAAAGTGGACAATCGCTTTCACCATTCAACTGAGAGTGAGACTAAAGACTTTTTGCACAATTATTTTGCGTATAGTTTTGTATGTCTATAAATGGCTCTAAAGAAAAGCACACAAAAAGAAAATATAATAAATTATGATTACATTATCAGGATTCTGCCTAGTTGCAAATAGATGGATACCATATAGGCATATAATATTAGAATATTGTAGCTTTGACGGTTTGTTTTGTAGTAGGAAATAGTGGAAAGAAGAAAAGAATAGCTCAAAACGGTATAAAATTGTAAAAAAGTTAACAAGGTTTCCAAAGTGGGAGAAGTAATAAGAAGGAATAAAAAAGTTTCTATCCAAAAACCGAGATAAAAAATTATGATTGGTTGTTCAGATGTTGAACTGTCCTTAGATGTTTTGAATTTTGGAAATAAATCTAAACTGTAAAGGAATTATAAAACAAATATAAACTTCTCTTTTGTTAATCCTTATGATTTTAATTTTTACTAAATAAGTTAATTTTTTGAAAGAAAAATATACATGAAATTTTATTTTAAAATTCTCCACAATCTGTATATAATAAAATCATAAAGTCTTCTGGAAATGGAGATGAATCATATTTCACAAAAAAAAAAAACCAAAATATACAACACAAAAGCATCGGATATTGTTTGTTTTTAGTTTTACCATTCATTTGCCATTTGTACCACTCTGTTTTTATACCCGTGTCTTGTTGGCTTATTCACTATTCCGTTACCACTCAATTATTCAAGTAAAAACTGTATTGAATTTAAACACACAAAACTATGGTGGTGAATCATATTTTACAAAAAAAATATACAACACCAGAGTATCATTATATTGGTTTCTAAGGAACAAGAGCGAAGATGTTAGAGTCATGAAGAATATCTGAATAAAAAAGGTTGAAATTGAGGCAGTCCCAGAAGCGTGAGAGCACAAACCTCCCATGTTTTGGTGATCTCAGGTGACACAAATGCAGTTCCTTTAACTCTTTGTCAAACTTTTGCTTCACCATCATCACCTGTTTAATGTGAAATATAGACTCAACTTCTCGCAACACCCGCGGAAAACAAACAGATTTGATGTGTTCTTCTTTTACCTGAGACGTGTTAATCCCTGGACTGCCTCTCGGAAGACAAGACCGGAAGTCCAGTGCGCATTGCAAGATGTTCTCTATGATGTTGGATATTGCTCGCGTTTCATCAGATAGGAAACATCTGCAAGTGTTTGATAAAAAACGAGCTGTTAGGAAACGTTGGAAGCAAAATATTGGCTTCTGAAGCCGATATAGAAACAAGACTTACATGCGCAGAGCTTCACTTAGATAAGCCATATGAACAGACTCAAGATCCATCATATCCTTCACCTGAAAAAACCAGGAAATCAATTAAAGTGACAAAAGGCCACTAAAATTGCAACAAAATTTAAACACTATATGCGTTTCGGTTTCAGATTGGCTAAGCAATTATGTTAAACCAGTCCCATTAGTTATACTCAACAATCGAAACAAATATTTTTCCTTTTAGGTTGCATAAAAATGTCAGCAAGCCACCGTAGAAGCATATCTATAGATGGACCAAATAAACAGTAGAGTGTAATGTCCAGACCTTATGCTTCAGGGAATGAAGGAACTTGGACCATGATACGTGGGATAACTCTGAATGTACATATTGCTGTAGTGTTGATACAAAATGGTTGACCTGATGCCTAGCAAATAGAGAAAGACGTCAAAGATAACATATAGCCTTCATAATCTGAAAAATGCATTGTGTATTATAGAAGCACAGTGATCAAGAAACAATACAAATGTTTATCAAACGACATAGAAATTTTACATAAATTGTATGGATTGGTATCAATGCTTTCTGTTAATCTTATAAATGGTAATGCCAGAAGAAATATGATCACCATACTTAATCGTGCAGTTGCATTCAGTAATTGTTACTTAGCTCAATGAGTCACCACCATTAAATTATGAGAGGTTGAAGAATTTACCTTAGCTTCATCAATATGTTTAACCACCGGATTTCGTGCTCACCTATCTCCTCTTGCATCTCATGTCTTACATCCTATAAGAACAGTATAGTCATTGTGCCATCAAAATCCCAGAATATGAACAGTACTATGAGAAATATCAGGACGAACATCAAAAACATTTTTCAGATAACATCTTCCCATAAAGAAGTTCAAAAAATTGCACCAAAAATTTGTGTTAGGAGGTGCTATGTCACAAGCAGCGAATTAAAAAAAAAGTTGAACCTTTACCTTGAGTGAACACCAGACATCAGTTAACGCATAGGCTGCTAGTTTCACTTGAACCAGAAAACTAAATACATCAGCATATGCTTTCAGCGCATCACACGTCAAAATTATACTGATTGGCCAGTCAACACGATAACCCAAGCCTAGGAAATCAAACGAACGCACTCCTGCAAATTTCGACACATAAGTAACAGTTATAAAGCTCAATACGGAAAATAGTAACTAATTTTCTAAGTGCAAGACCATACCAATGTTTGATGGCGGGAGATGCGTTGTGTCTTGTCTTTTGTACAAAAATAACCTGTCCTTACAAATGTCTCGTTGACATGATGATCTCTGAATTGATGATTCTAGAAACCCTTGGATTTCTGAAATTCTCTTATCTGCCTCTGTAACAAGCCATTTCTGGGAATCCAACTTGAGAGAAAATGTATATAAGATTCCCCTAGAAATGTTAAGAGAATCATCACAATAAAATAGATTGTAAGCAGACTTACATGATGCCATAGGGACACTACAAATACGTCTGCCCAATCTGCTATCTCCATAAAATGATATCTGCGTAGAGCTAACAGATGTTCTTGCAGGCCAAATCCTTCTTCGAGCAACTTGATAGCTAGCTTACTGACAAAGTTATATCTTTTGTTTGTTAAGGAAAAATCGATGTCTTGACATGTTACCATGAAAAAACGTCCCTAGAGAGAAAATGACGCCAAATATCAAATAACAAACCTAACTATGTATATATAACAAATGAAAGCATTGAGTAGGATACTGAAGACGTATTTCCTGCAGTAGACACTTGTCTATAACAAAATCTAGTGGCAATTCAAATGTGCCAGAGGAGTTCTGTCTGCAATCACTAAATGCACTACTCTCAGGGTTATTTGATCTGAGAAGCATACCCTCCCATCTACTTCCACCAGATGCATTTGATTTTTTTTCTTCGGTGCAACCTTTTAAACCCGGAGATAAAGGACTGCCAGAAACTTTAGGATGTTCAACATTAAACCTATCTATGCCACATTCTCGGTTGGCAAGGCGATTGCTCTTTCTATCACTCTGAGAACTATGAACTTCTACGTGAAAATCAATAGGGATCCCTACAGGTATCCTGGCAAGACATGATTTGGAAGGATCATCCACCGCAGAAAAATCAAACCAAGGCAATGATTTCCTCTGCTCTCTTCTGTTTATGTTTCCATGCTTGCGCAAGAAATCACATCTCAGCATAGGATTCATACTGAGTACCTCGTAAGGGTAGTTAGCCTTTGTCTCTTTCAAAGGATCTAATGTTGATGAGGAACAGTTTTCCAGAAAATCATGCTTTCTCTCGTGCTTCGTACAACTACGACCTTCAGGAATGTTGTTTATAAATAGTGTGCTTTCATCAGTATTCATTATCCTAGCTCCTGAATCAATTTTTGGATATTTTCTGTCATCTTCTGCGTACTTCTTATCAACACAAAATGGATTTCCAGGTAATTCGCCAAGGGGCCATGACTTAATAGAAAGAGGCCCCCTAAATTTATCAACCTCACATACTTCAGTTGACTCTTCTGGCTCAGTATCCATCCACTGGCGACGAGTATCTGCCTTTTCACCGTTCCTGACAAAATTGTTGTCCACATAACCTGATTCACTATGCTGAACAAGATTCTGATTACAGTTTCCATCAGAGGGAACAGAGAAACGTAGCGCTGATAAGTAGTTTGGTGAAGGTCCCACTAATGCAATCTGTGAATCAAGGAGTTTAACATCAGATTCTTCCAAAGAATCCCTAGTCGATGAACATTCAGATGAGCATGACGCATCTATCTCTGAAAACCATCTGTCTTCTGTTTTCTGGTCATCAGAATCCGAACCAACCTGGTCCCTGAAATCCCAAGAACATGTCTTTAGTTCAAGTTCAGCAGAGTAAAGGTAAATGATACTTGATACATAGAATCAGGAAGAAGACCTGGTCAAATCCATTCCCACTGTAGAAGGGATTAGTAAACTATCATCCAGAGTGAGATAAACAGAACTTTTCTGAATTATTTCTCCGTTGCCATAGGATATTGGCAAAGATGTTGCTCCAGGAACCTAAATTAAAGCAAGATAAAACTAAAAAAAATCAGTGCAAAAATAACTTTTTGATAGATTCAAATGCAGCAAAAAAATTTAGGGTCCCTATATCAATAATTCCACTGCCAGCTAGTCCAGAAAACCAGAGAATGAGACGCTTCTACAATGCTGAATAGTGTGTTTTGCAGTAATCATTATCACAGTGCAAAACTGATCTGACAATGTAGCATGCATTTAATATCTTTTTTAGTTTTTAATGTGAATCACATGCACTTCAAGGTCATGTTTAAGTAAGACATCTTGCATCAGAGAGACTGGCAATGATAATGAATTTCATATCATGTTCAACTGATCTAAACAACTAGTAGGATATCAAATTACCAGGGCAAAATTGTTTTCATAACAGCATAAAACCAGCAATAACTTATAAAACGAGTAGAGTCAGAGCTAGCATTGCGATGAGAGAATATCAGCAGACACATAAATCAAAAGAACAACAGCTTCCGAAATGAAAACAACAGCTAATGATTCGTAAATAAAAATCAAAGACGCATGATACCTGCCCAGGGAACAGTTCAAATTTATTTGCAAAGTCACCAAGTTCTTCTTGCATTCTTCTGTAGTAATCGTCTCTTTTCTGTATCATCACTTCTATATGCAATTTGCTGAAAGTTATTGGAGATGGGCACACTCGACTAGTGGTAGAATAATGAGTCCAACAGGGAAGAAGATCTGCATAACGTTTGTGTCCAGATGCAGGAAGATTACACAATTCAAGAAGTTTTGTAACTACTTGGAGCTGTTGACCAGCCCTTAGTATAGGTACCAAGAAGCCGTCCAAGAAACATGGAACAAGCCCTCCTTCTCGCTCCTAGAGTGCAGAAATGGAAGATATCTCATATCAATGGTTTCAAGATGGCTAAAATCAAAGATCGAAAACAAGAATAGTATATTACACTCACCCTCTTCAATGAAGAGATGCCAGGCTTATCCCAAGAATACAATGTCGATTCACTGACACATTCCACAATGAACTCCGTATGAGGATCGTTAAGTTCGGCTTTAAATATCCAAGATCTTATAAACTCACAATAAGGCTCACATGTTTTGAGGAACAAAAACTTAAGCATAGCACTGTGAGCAGGATCAGCAACCTACAACAAATTATGTCGGGAAAAGACATTCAGAACAGAAGGTTTAAACTGTACAAGTTCATGGCTCAGTATAAATATTCTAAGCGAGTGAATTCCAGACTCCTCAGGATATGTATATCACTTACATGAAGGATTAATTTGCAAATTCAATCACCATATCAAGTGGTCCACATCTTAACATGCATAAATTAAAAACTGCCATGTACTGATGTTCTTTCTGTTAATTTGAAACATGTAAATCCATGATTTAACATTGCTAGCGTAGAGAGTACAGTGATGCAACATTTAATGACCCAGACTAACTATCACTAAAATATGAATGAGAAACAACTGGAACCGAAGGTGCCTCTAGGCTAAAACATTAACTGATAACTATGTGCATCATGAAACAAATAAAAAAAGGATGACTACTAAACATATTTTACCCTGACCTTTAGTTGTGAATATAGGTATGTAAGCAGGCGGCTTCCTCTGTAGAACCCATGAAATCGCACGGTTGCTTCAGTAACCAGACATTCCCAAGGAGAGCCACAATAAGATTGAGATATATCATACAAATCACATATGTTCGCAAGAGCTTCGATCTGTGTTCGTAACTCTCTTGTATGCAAGAAAACTTCCAATAATGTTATCTTTGGATGAACGACGTTTGTAAGGCAGCCTAGCCAAGGTGAACCATTGTCAGACCCATCCACAATGTTAGACGAACGCCTCAGTTCTATAGATGCACATAATGTATCCAGTCCAGATATATAGCCTTCAAGGACCTTTCTCACAGCAATAGCAAAAGCCTGATTAACAAGCGTATAGCAGCTCTTGTTATGGGCTTTACCAGAGGAAACATCTTCAAATTCACCAACTTTATAGCTCTCCTGTCCCTCAACAGTTGTTTCAACATCCAAATCGAAGCTTGTGAAATGGTCTACAAACTTATGGAGAAGAAAGACCAAAGAACCAAAGGAGCCTATATTTCTAAGAATCTGCCCCAACGCATCAGTGCTTGACAACCGATGCCACAAGCTCGGAATTTTCTGGATGGTCCTGTCAGCTGGCTCAGAGCATAACGCAGAAGAGATCTGCTCGATGCTAATAAGAGAAGACTCAACACCTTGTAGAGCATTCAACGCCAACCTAACCAAGCTCGATTCCTATTTCAAGCAACAAAATGTAAGAAGTAGTCTCAATTACTTAGCGCATAAAAAACAAACTTTTTTCTCTTGATAACACTATTGTCTTGCTGAATTTGGAGCCCAAAACCCTAGATTGATCCTAATCAAACTCAATCAATAAAATCACTCACTAAGATTGATACTTTACCAAAACCCCTATTAGGTTTCCGATCCAAGCATTGCAGTTACTTAAAAAAAAACTTGTTATTGAAAAGCCTAAATCTTTGCGGCACTAAACTTACAGAGACAGAGGAAGAAGACGAAGGAGAAGCAGAAGCACGAGCTGGAGGATGAGGAAATCGACCGCTCTCTGAATGTATGTATTCCCAATTTCGCGGTGGAAGGTATGGATCCTCCACTTTGAGCTTCTCCAGAAGCGAAGCGAGGCTCGTCGCCACCGCCATGATTTCTATCTGAACACGATGGCAAATAAAACTGAGAGAAGGAAACCCAGTATCGAACGATTTCTCCGAAGACTACTTTTCCATGTCCATCAAAGCGAACAGAGACCAAGCACCAAAAGCAAACGCAAAACCCGACGGTGATTGCGAGAGACAGCTTGTAAACGCTTCAGTTCGTGTGCCGATTTTAGACTTCACTATGGAGTTTCAATTCGTCGAGCATCCCCATTCTCCTTGTTAGAGTGATTGACGAAAGAAAGAAGACAATTTAGGGATTGCAAAGGAGAAGATAGACAGAAATACAGAGAGAGAAAGAGGTGGGAAGCAAGAGAGAGGTAGTGAGGTTACACAGTCGCACTCGACGAGCAAAATCATTTCGTCTCTCATCGGAAAAGGCCGAAAGGGATAATTTTGAAAGGAGAGTGGGCATTCGGGTTAGCGGATCGGGTTAAGGTCGGATATTTTGGATTTCAGATATTACTCACCAGATTTGAATTGGTTCGAGTCCACTGCCTGGGACTTTGGGGTTTGGGTTGGGTTCGGGTCGAGATTTTCGGGTTTTGAATTTTCGAGTTTAAAAATATAGAAACCGTTCGAGTTTTTTTAAGTTTCAGTTTGGGTTCGGGTTTTTTCGGGTTTTTTTTGGGGTTTTGCTGGCTTTTCAGGTTGGGTTTTTTTAAGTTTTCTCAGGGTTTTTCGAGTTTGGGTTTTTCAGATTTGAGATCGAAAAACCGTTTGGGTTTTTTAAAATTTCCGGTTCGGGTTTTAGAGTCCCAAGCCTAAGTTCAACTATAAGAATAACTTCAAATGTGATATATGAACTTGTGTTCAAAAATGCAGTGTTCATGCGGCCGCGGTGGCCGATTAAGCCGCGGTCAGGCGTTTCATAATGGCCGACCATGTCGATTTGGTCGACTGAAAAACCGAATACATAAAATTAATCAATTTTTTAATGGTATTGTATAGTTTAGATCAAGTTTTCGGTTGTAAATCTATCATATTATAGTAGAATTGCAATGAAATCAATGAAGAGATTGAAGAAAAAAAAACTTTAAAGAAAATGCATGTTTTGAAATACAAGAGAAAATAAAGGAAATTTGAGTAATGTGTAACAGAGGGATATTTTTTGGCATTTTTCGCACCTTTGGCATTTTATATTAATTGTATGTAATACGTCGTTAAATGATTAATGACTATTGTTATAGTCATTTGACCAAAATTAACTTAATTTAATGACTCACACTTGCCACGAGTGATTAAATATATTACCATATAAATGGATTTTTTTAACTTTTTTGGTTTTGAATTGCCCTCGAAAAAATATAAATGATATCTCTTTATATGTATCGTCTTATCTTCTCGGAGTTCTAGTAAATTTTCCTAAGATTTTGCATAAGTTCTTACCCATTTCTGGTTTTCGATATCTCCTTTTCGTGTTTGCAACTAAAATCTAATCGGTTTTTCCTTTTAGTTTTAACAAATCATTTTAATCATCATCTAAATTGAGTTGGTGTTGAAATGGATTTTTCGTTGCATATCTCCAACGAAGATTGCTTCATAAACAATGTTCACCATTCTCAAGATCATATTAGTCTTTTTAATGATAACTTAAGCCAATCTTCTATCAGTGGATGGTCTCCTTCACCGATTTTGAGAGATTTTTCTTATGAAAATAATCAAAATCTGATTCCATTGATCCCAAACCAAAATTCTGTTCAGTTCAACCAAAATTTGGTTACTACTCAAAATCTTCCAGTTCACAACCCTTCCATAGCTGAAAACCCATCAATATATTCATTCATGAGTATTGATTCCTACTCGAAAACCAATACTTTTGAGGAACCTACAAATACTATAACCAATAAAAACCAAAACTATATAGCCCATGACACTCTATTCCCCATCAAATCTAGGGGTATATTTGATATTTCTCACGATTCTCGAGAAAATACTATGTGGAGTGATACTATGTATGATACAAAGGTTGTCGATAGTGGTTATGAGCCAGGGCTTGAGAAATCCATGGTTGGATCTCATTCATTTGATCTTCTTGTGTCTGACGGTGTAAAAGGCGCAGCTATAGAAGTCATTAATCAGCGTCAAGATCATGAGATGATAAAAACCGATCAAAAGAAGAACATGAAGAGAAGCAAACGATTGAGAAAAGCCAAAGAAAAATGGAATACTAGTGAGGACAGGCAAGTCTTTTTAATTTTTATTCCTAATATAAAAATAAAAAATTCTATTCAATTCCATCTTCAAATTTCCATAAATATAATATTTTTATATTTTATAATTTTTTGTTGATGTTATAATAAACTTTCAAAAAATTATGTGTTGGGACATATAAATATGTAGAAAGTTGAAAGCAGCAGTGGCGTTTTATGGGGACAAAAGTTGGGCATTGATTGCAGGACATTTGGAAGGACGAAGAGGAAAACAATATAGAGAGAGATGGCATAACCATTTACGTAGTGACATCAAGGTAATCTCAATATCTTTCTTGTTTTCAAACACAATCAAAACTCATGTGTATATACATAACCCATGTTGCATTGTCCTGATAAATATAATTCCTTGTTTATTAATCATACGTGGGTTACAATTCATATAAATTACAGTTGGTGGTGAGATTGGCTATTTAATCACAACAATTTCAAAAGTTCATTTATAAGTGGTACATATACATGATACTTACTTAGTCTGCATATTAAACTATAAAAAAATTGTAAATTTTGGTTTATCTTTGTTAATATAATGTGCATAATCATTAATCTTTATGAAGTGTGCAAATCTTTTCTCATGTAGAAATAATCTCCCTTTTTACTTGTTCGTAAGTATCTTCAAAAAAAAACAAAAAAAAATTATGAACTCTATCAACTTTATTTTTCTTCCATAAAACAAAACTTATATACATGCATATAATATGAATATGATATATATATGATTTCAGAAAGATGTCTGGAGTGAAGAAGAAGATCATATATTGATTGAAGCTCACAAGGTTGTTGGCAACAAGTGGTCAAAGATCTCCCGTGAACTCCCTGGAAGAAGCGAAAATGATATTAAGAACCACTGGAATGCAGCAATACGTCGGGCGGACTGGAAGAAAACTAAGCAAATTGATGAGAATGCAAGCATGCCCCAAGATAGCATACTTAAAAACTACATAAGGTGTGCCACAATCAACAATAAGCTTCGAAAGGACACTGAAATCGCAGGTAATACCAAAAACAGTAAGAATATTTTTGATGGAAAGATGAATATGAGTCTAGACGATACAAATCAGACAGTCAAACCATGGATCAATGCGTCTACATCATCAACTTATGGTCAAGAGCCAGCAATGTTTTCATGTGATGATTACTTTACAAAGGTTTGTGAATCCATGGGTGACATTGAAATGCTCATGGATGGGTGGGAATAATTTATGATAATAGTAAATTTCAATGTATTCTCTAATTATGATCAAAGATGGTATCTAGTTTTTGCAAGACATGTTTTGTAATTTGATGTATCGCCTGAATGAGCGATTTAAGTATTTCTTTTAATCACCCATTGAAATATTTCTTTTAAATTTATGTTGACGAGTTGCATAGTTGTTTTTTGTAAACGATAAATTATTGTTGTCACATGAAAACCATGAAAACCCGGTAAAGGGTGTCCAAATTTCGACAATGAGAGACAAAGTGCGTTAGATTCTGTAAAAATCTTTGTCTAACGTCGGTAATGAAGTTGTTGGGATGGAGGAGTTTAAGAATCGAGTGATTGATTGTGATATCCACCATGTTTGAGAAATTGGGTTGTTTAGGGAGACCTCAAAAAAAAACAAAATACCGACCGATTCTTTGGCAACGAATGATTTCTTCACTGCCCAAAAAAAGAATTTTATATTATATAACGTTTATAATTACTTGCACCCAAAGCTTTTGGGTCAAAAACAACAATTTCCTTTTCTAAGTCCTCTATAGTATTACTCAAAAATAAAAATAAAGGAAATAATGAAAAAGATACGACAATAGACAGGGTCAAGACCGTGTCCGTCGAATTAAAAAAACCAAAAAAGGAACCTTGCCCTCCAAGCGAAAGACTAAAGCATAAACCCTATTTAAATCCAATTTGTAGACAACAATATTGAAGGAAAGCAAAAAACAACAAAATCTCCCAATCGACTATATAACATTTCCTTTTTATTAAAATCAAAACAACTTTCCAAAACCCAAAAGGAATAGGATTAGAATTGGTGTCTCTCTCTATATATAGGTATAAACACATCTACGTACTGTCACAATCAAGTTTTGATTAGTGATCGGAAAGGCAACGAACGGTGAAGAAGAAAAAGCAATGAGCGGTGAAGAAGAAAGGATGTGGTGTGGTCACTGCGGCGTTAAAACTCTCATCCGCCGTGAAGGAAACGCCGGTTCCGTCAAGTATGTGATCACCAATTTATTTATTTTTATTTTCCATTCTTCTAATTTTTAAGTTTTTGATCCAAACAATTGTTCACCGATTGGAAATTTTATATTTTCTAATTTGAATTTTTCATACGTTTTTTGCAGAGCATGTGATTGGTGTGGAAAAGTATTAGCAGACGAGACTGGAACAGCTGAAGAATATAATAAACTCTTCCTTCGACTTCAAAATTACCTTTCCGAATCCGGAAAGAGACGACGTATTAAAAGAAAAATATTAATCTGATTTTATCCTGTTTTCTCTATTTTCTTATTAGTTTTTGTAAAGACATGCATATATCTATTTCTTTGTCGTTAGTTGAATGTTAAGTCATAATTTGTCTTTTTTTTTTTTTTTTTTTTTTTTGTCAACAAACTATATATTTTTTTTTAGAGTTTTTTTTTTTTTCAAGCCAATAATCTTTATTCAACAAGATGAATGAAGAGATAATAAATCCAAGGATACACAAAGTAATAAATTCACGGAAATAGCCTACAAAAACAACAATACTCTTTTAAGAAAAAGCAATACAAACAATGGTGTTGTTAAAAAGAAAAGGATGATCAGGTATAGATATGAAGTGCAAAAGCTAATAGCAAAATCATAAGATTGAGAAGAAGAGAATAAGTTGTAGTGCTTGGTGCATCGCCCTTCGAAGGGCCCGACGCAAATCCTCCTGGTGATTCAGCGCCTATCCAAATCCAATCATCATTAGTTTTCGACATCATTATGTATACATAATAAAATATGGCTTTTCATTTCCAGAATTTCTATCTCAAGATTGAGTTTTAGATGAATCAGTTAGATGTTTCTCCGGTAGTTCGGTGTATATGCAGTTCTGGTTTAACTTCTATTTGTGGTGGACAATGGACCACAATAAATCAAATCAGGCAATAGAATTCACATAGACAAGAATATTAGATACCTAAGCCTAAGTGCATGTTTTTTGTTTTTTAAAGATGCAGATATGATATCATGTAATAGAAACGTAGTTTAAAAAAAAATATACACTACAAAATTTAACTGCTTATTGTAGTTTTTTTCATTTCTTTAACAAAACTATATCAAATATGTACAAAAATTAACTTAATTCTTCAAGAAAGCATACTTAGTTCGATTTAGATAGATCAGTTACCTGAAGTTGGAGCCAAGGCTGGAGAGGCTTCCTCGTTGCCCATTGGTTCAGGTGCTCCAGCAACTGGAACTCCTAACACTGTTATCACAAAAATTAAATTAGAACTAAACCGGAATTTCTAATACGAATTGTCTAATCTAAAAAGAAAAATCATTTTGTAAGTTACCCAGCAGTAATTACAACTTTGTTTCAACTGCTAAATAATTACAGAATATAAAACACATTGCATGAATTTGAGCTCAGATTAAATACTTGGTAAAGTTTATAACTCAGTAACTTAATGTCCTATCAAAAATAAGACAAAAAATATTGAAAACATGTGAGAAGTTTAGGGAAACCGACAAAAAGTGTTTAATGTTCGAGTAGATGAGTAGTAAGGGTAAGATGGTTCGCCCAATAAATATGACATTTTCTATAAGCTATTACTTTAATTAAATTCTAACATTGAACATTGGTAAGACAAAAACAAGTATTCACATTCTAATAAATACAGGAATTAATTTATTTCATCATAAAGACCGTTGTATTGGTTTGATAGAGTCATCATATAAAACATTTCTCAATTCCTCTAGATCTAGATAATCACAATATTTTATTTTCTATAAAATTGACTAAGAAAACGACTAACTATTTACATGAATTCAGAATTATACATCAATCAACATAAGAAGAGTAGTATAAAACATTACAAGATTTTGGAAAAGTGTATTAAATATTTGTAAAAAGAATTCCTTCAATTTCTAGTAACTTACCGTGAGTAAATTAATTGGTATATAATATTTGCATGCAAGAGTATTAATTTAACAAGGTAAAATCAGAGTGAAGGTTGAAAATTACGAGAACAGAGCGACGGAGGTGGAGTAACGACGCCGCAAACTCCGGGAAGCTTGAGAGCCTTTTTCTTATCAATACTGATTCCGTACTGAGCCGCCATGTCTCCGGCGAGGAGGTAACAAAGGCATTGCGGCGCGGACTCGACAAGCCCCGCCAGCTCCGGGCAACAAGCTTTGTCCGGCTTGGCCGCACCACCGCCGGTTCCGACCTGAACGTACGAGAGACAATCTGTCATGTTCAACAGATTCGTCATGCAGTCTGGTTCAGCCGACGGTCCTGACGAAGGAGATGGACTCATTTGTGCTGACACATGTCCTGTTAGCGACGCTGCGATCAGAATAGCGGCGATTACTGAAAAAGTTGACATTGTTTTTGTGTTGATTTTGAGAGAAGAGGATTTGTGAATAAAATCTTGTAAGCGAAAGCAATGCTATATTATAGGTTTATTAGTTAGATGCCATAAATGCGTGTTTATAACGACCACCTACCATTATTTTTCTATTTTCCAAAAGTCCATACAATTGCATCAAATGTTTATAAAATTTTGGCGATTTGTCGGACTTTTCAAAGGTTGTGCTTTTTGTGTTAGAATGTACATATGTTTTGCTCTAACTATATATAAAATGTGCTACCTTCTTAAAAAAAATATTCAACTATATTCAAGTTTTAGTTCAATTTCGTTTCAATATTTGATGACATCGGTTGGCCTTTAAAAAAGTTCTTTTTGCTCTCGGTTCGGTTTAAATCCCACCTCCATGTGTTATAGACGTATAATCATAACTTTAATGTATTGACTATTGAGTATTGAGTATGCAGTTGATTGCGTCTGAAAGCGTTAGAACGCATTAAAGAGAGAGCACATGTTATACGAATATGATAAGGCAAATATAAAATATATATTAACATTTTTTCACAACGACAGTGTTTTTTATTTTGTTTTGTCTCACTCACGGAGTAATATACACAAATGTGATTATATGAACATATATAACTTTAGGTATAGATGTAATTAATGAAGCCACCATTCTCTTACCGAATTAGATAAGCAACCACATGCTCGTCTTCATAACTTCCAGCTGTTTTGGTCTTCACGTTCTTAGGTAACGTTATTTTTTTGTGGTTCTCAAATAATGTTCCTCTATCTTTATTTAAAGGCCAATTTGTTTATTTCTTTACGTGATGAAAGTCTTAAACCAAATCAAGTAAAGTTAGACCCAAAGTCGTACTTGATTTCGAAACAAAAATTAGGCATTTGCCTTAGGCCCCATATTTCTTAATAATATTTAGGCCCTCCATTTTTATAATTTTTAAAAAAATTATAGACTTTTATTTATTAGACAAATTAAATTAGAAAAATAACATTTAGTAATCGATTAAGTTTCATGGACTTCTAATTCTAACTAAAAGTCAATAGCTAATAGGCCATGCCACTTATATGTTAATAGGTCGCGTCTAAACTTCTGATTTGTTTTCATATTCGTAGAATTCATATTCAACGGATAATGACAATTTTAGTAGAACACAAATTTTACAGATGGTAGAACTGAAGAGTAGAAGACACTATAATCCATAGACACATATTCTACCAAATTAGTTGAATAGTAAAACATAGAGAATTCAGTAGAAAACACATTCTACTATTGGTTGATGAAACAAATGCCAGCAATCAGATTCTATTGTGGGCAGGTGTCATGACAACTAGTAGAAAATATCTTCTACTTTAAATTCTTAAATAAGTAGAACCAAAAATCTTTTTTTTTTTTCTAACATAAATCCCCAAAAATGTTATAATATTCACAATACTCTTTGGATCATTGTTTTGAATTTTCTTAAATTTCTCTAGATTTTAAAAGTATTTATTTCAAAATTATTATGTATATTAATAGTGAGTCGAGGATACTTTTTTTATAACAAAATTGATTTTATCTTAATATGTGTGAAAATCTAAAAAACAATTATAAAAAAAAAGAAAAAATTAAAGGTGTAAATGATAAGATACAAATTTCATTGGTGTGATGACTCATTAAAAGTAAATCATTGAGAGAACAATTTTATTCTTTTTAACAAAATTGATATTTTCTTAATATGTGTAAAAATCTAAGAAAATTCATTAAAAAAAAAAGAAGGAAATGAAGAAAAGATAAGGTACATATTGGTGTGAGACTGTCATAAATCATTTTTTTAGTAGTAAATCATCGAGAGAGGATAATTATCTTATTTTTAATAAAATTGATTTTTTTCTTAATGTGAAAATCTAAGAATATTAATTAATTAAAAAAGTGACGGGTGGAGTGAAAGATAAGAGGTACATATTACCACCACGGGTCGTTTTCTCTCTAGGTAGTGAAAGTGAGATTACGACAACTAAACCTTGTTAGAGATACAGTTACGGCACAATCTTCTTCCTCTTTAGTACATAATATTCGAAGGCTCTGTTTTAGGAAGTTCATGTAATTAGCTTAGACTAGAACGTTCCAACCATGTGTATAAATCTCTCTTTTTTTTTATATTATTATTATTATTATTATTTTTGTTTTTCAAAGAAACTTGATATTAGGTATGTAGTTGGATCATCGAGCCTACAAACTCATGTGTATAAATCTCTCCTAACATTCTCAACAAACCTTAACTTCTCTCTCTAATCTCCAGCATCGACTATGGTGGCCCGAAACAATGGACGTGAGCTTTTAACAGTTTCTCTGATCCTAACCCTAGCTTTGATTCACCCGGCGGAAGCAAACTCCGATGGCGACGCTCTTTACGCGCTTCGCCAGAGCTTGTCGGATCCACAACGCGCTCTCGAAAGCTGGGATCCTACTCTTGTTAATCCCTGTACTTGGTTCCATATCACCTGTAATGGAGACAACCGTGTCACTCGAGTGTAAGAACTAAGAACCCCTCTCTAGGACACATAATCTGTGTTTTTTGTTTTTACTTATTATTCATCGTTTTCAAGTTTCTTCTCTTGCTCTCAACATTTACCTCTGATTCTACTTTTGTTTTGCAGGGATTTGGGGCAATATAACCTCTCTGGACATCTTGTACCGGATCTTGGGAAACTCGACCAACTACAATATCTGTATGTCATCATCATCACTCTCTCTTGATAATGTATATTAACTGTGTGATTGGTTTTATTGATCCTCCTCTACATTCATATAGTGAGCTGTACGAAAACGACATCCAAGGAACTATACCTTCTGAACTTGGAAATCTCAAGTCTCTGATCAGCATGGATCTCTTCAAAAACAGTCTCACGGGCCAAATTCCGTCTTCTCTCGGAAATCTCCAGTCACTCCTCTTTCTGTAAGTATATATATTATTTTTTTACGTGCAATATGTGCCTATTTTATGTTCTTCTTTTGCTCTCTGTATAAGCTATGGTTTCCTAAGTAATTTCTTTGACATTGACAGGAGGCTTAACAATAACCATTTGACCGGTACAGTTCCCAAAGAAGTCACGTCTCTCCCAAACCTCAGAGTTATGTAAGTCGTCCACCTATTCCAGCGCTGTGTTCTGTATGTCTTTTGAGTCTTTTCGATCACTTGATTGACTGCATGATTATAATTTAGTCTATTATGCTTATTTTGTCATTCTTCTGCCAGTGATGTCTCAGGCAATGATATTCATCCTTCTCAACGCATTCCTATGCACAAGTAAGTTCATTTTCCTTTCAAGCATTCAAGCTAATAAGTAGTTTGAAAAAAATTAATAATAATAAGTTGTAGATTGAAAATCATGGGGTTGGAGATTTTCAAGCATGGGGTTGGAGATTTTCAAACTATTATCAATTGGGTTTTAACAATTAATAATAAGTTGGAAAAAAATTATAGCATAATATATGGCATGAGGGGTTGGAGAGAAACCCAATACTATTGCTATATTTCTTGTAGTTTGAAAATCTCCAACCCATGCTAAATATGACATATATGCTATTTTGCCATAATTTTTGCTCCAACCCAATTGCATATGCTATTGCAAAATAGCATCATGCTATTTTTGCTTCTATATTTGGCATGAGATTATGCAATATGCTATTTTGCCATTGAACTTTTTTATTTATAAAATAGTCCTTCAATTTGTAATTACTTTTAATTTAACAGTTTAATTATATTGATTATGATTTATTTAAATAAATAAACAATACTCATAACTTTTTCAAAATATAAATAATATTTATTTCATAGAAATATAAAAACATAACCATAATAAACTTAAAATTTTATTTTTAAAAATACTGAAATTCAAAAAACATAAAACAATAGGTTAAAATCTTTGTTTTCTATAATTTTTATGTAATATGATGTATTTTGTTTTAATATTATAATAATAAAAAAAATATAATTCTGGTTGTTTTTGCAAAAAAAGAAAAACAAATGATTCACTTTGTAAAATTTGAAGAAATCAAGTAGTTTTAACAATTAATAATAAGTTGGAAAAAAATTATAGCATGATATATGGCATGAGGGGTTGGAGAGAAACCCAATGCTATTGCTATATTTTTGCCATTTGCAATAACATATGGCATGAGGGGTTGGAGATGGTCTTAGTAAACATCAATGCATTTCATAGTTTCCGTATAACACCAAAAAATGTTTTCTTGAGACATACGGTACCTCGTTTGTTTGCTAACGCGAAACCATTGATTGGTACAGCTTCAAGAACAATGCGAGATTGGAAGGCAGGATCTTGCGAGCTGAAAGAAGTTAAAAAGTAATCGTATTCAAATCTGATATGTAATGTCTATATTACGTGAGATCATATGAAATCTAGTTCAAGAAAATAAAATAAAAATCAAGCATGCCTTGTAACCAGAAAAAGTTCTAAAAAGCAAGGAAAGAAAATAAAAATAATTGTCACAAATAATTTGAGAAAACACGTACGGTCGAAACCTTAAATAATTTGAGAGGTAAAATGATTAAATGATATCAACCATATTCTTTAAATTAATATTGAGATTATTTATCTAGTTAACGGAACATGTGAAGTTGATTAGTGCATATTTTATTTTGTTGTCAGTATTCAACACCACCGAGATATATTAATTTTTGGTTCTTTAGAATCATTTCAGCTTTTTATTCTTTTTCTTTTTTGGCGCCTTTAGAATAAAACTTTTTAGCTTTGTCTGTTCAACCATCGCATGAGTTATCCGAAGTTTTCAATCTGAAACAGATTCTTTACGCAATTTTTTGAACGAAAAGTTCGATTAAAGAAGTAAAGAATGTGTCTCTCCGGTGGTGCCAATCATGGCGGACGATGCGCGAATCGTCCTACTGGAGAAGAAGGAAGACAATGACAACCAGAACTGCCCTGGCTGTAACATTGATAGACTTAAACAAGAGCAACGAGGCATACCTTACATGAACCTCTCCTTCATCTGGCTTGTCTCACTCTGCACCGGTTCAATTTCTCCTCTTCCTCTTCTTTCTTTCTTTCTAAGGATATCAGGATATGCCTCCGATACTAATGTTTCAAGAACTTTGGTGTGATGTTCAGCTCTCCCGATATCTTCTCTGTTTCCATATCTTTATTTCATGGTAAGTTATTAAGAGACGATACAATTTTTTTTGTTAAATGTTAACTCTATCAGCTTCGTTTTGTAATTCACATGTATGTGTTGTGGTTAGATCAGAGACTTTCATATTGCAAAACAAGAAGAGGATATTGGTTTCTATGCTGGTTTTGTTGGTAATTTTTATGCATTTCTTGCTCTTTGTTGTTGCTTTCTTGATCACCAAATCTTGGATGAGCATTGATGTTTCTTTTGTAAATATTTACTTCTTAGCATCATCATTCATGATTGGAAGAGCTCTGACATCTATTTTCTGGGGGAAGTTAGCTGATAGATATGGTCCAAACCTATTATCCTCATTGGGACATTCACAGTGTTAGCTTTTACTATTCTGATATTTTCATACTTGATTTGCTCAAGAGCAAGATGTAGATTCTTGCTTTCTTGTTTTTTTGTCTTCTTGAATTTTTACCAGCACTATCTATTTTCCGGATCATATTCAATACCCTCTTTGGTCTAAGCACAAGTTTCTGGTTTGCGATTTCCATTAGATTTCTCCTCGGCTGCTTTAATATTCTCCTCGGAGTAATAAGGGTATATCTTAGGATTTATAAAATTTTATATCGTAAAGGCGTGTGTCATAACTTCCTAAAGGTGTTTTCTATGTTATTGAACCATATTTACAGCTCTTAGTCTTGGAGTTCTCATCGCTTGTTGGTGGCTTCCTGTGAGTATGCTTAAACAAGATAGTGAACTTTCATTGGTGTGATGACTCATTAATAGTGAATCACTGAGAGAGCAATTTTATTCTTCTTAACAAAATTGACGTTTTCTTAATATGTATAAAAATCTAAGAAAATTCGTTAAAAAAAAAGAAGGAAATATAATGAAGAAAAGATAAGGTAGATATGGGTGTGAAACTCTCATAACTCATTTCTTGAAGTAGTAAATCATCGAGAGATCGGATAATTATCTTATGTTTAATAAAATTGATTTTTTCTTAATGTGAAAATCTAAGAATATCAATTAAAAAAGTAATGGGTGGAGTGAAAGATAAGAGGTACATACATATTACCACGGGTCGTTTTCTCTCTAGCTAGTGAAAGTGAGATTACGACAATTAAACCTTGTTAGAGATACAGTCACGCCACAATCTTCTTCCTCTTTATTACATAATATTCGAAGGCTCTGAATTAGAAAGTTCCTGTAGTTAGCTCCTTAGACTAGAACGTTCCAACCATGTATATAAATCTCTCCTTGTATCATTCATTCAGAGACATAGAAACAAAGAACATTCTCAACTAAAACCCTAATTTCTCTCTCTAATCTTTAGCATCGACTATGGTGGCCCGAAACAATGGACGTGATCTTTTAACAGTTTCCCTGATCCTAACCTTAGCTTTGTTTCGCATGGCGGAAGCAAACTCCGATGGGGACGCTCTTTACGCGCTTCGCCAGAGCTTGTCGGATCCACAGCGCGCTCTCGAGAGCTGGGATCCTACTCTTGTCGATCCATGCACTTGGTTCCATATCACCTGTAATGGAGACAACCGTGTCACTCGAGTGTAAGATCACATAATCTTGTTTTTTTTTTTGTTTTATTCCATCGTTTTCAACTTTCTTCTCTTGCTCTCAACATTTACCTCTGATTCTACTTTTGCTTGCAGGGATTTGGGGAGCTATCAGCTTTCTGGACATCTTGTACCGGACCTTGGGAAACTCGACCAATTACAATATCTGTATGTCATCATCATCATCACTCTCTTGATAATGTATATTAACATGTGTTTGGTTTATTGATCCTCCTCTACGTTCATGCAGTGAGCTGTACGAAAACGACATCCAAGGAACTATACCTTCTGAACTTGGAAATCTCAAGTCTCTGATCAGCTTCGATCTCTACAAAAACAGTCTCACCGGCCAAATCCCGCCTTCTCTCGGAAATCTCAAGTCACTCCTCTATCTGTAAGTTTTTTTTTGTTTGTTTACGTGCAATATGTGCTTATTTGATATTATTCTTTTGCTCTCTGTATAAGCTATGGTTTCTTAAGTAATTTCTTTGACATTGACAGGAGGCTTAACAATAACCATTTGACCGGTTCAGTTCCTCCAGAAGTCACGTCTCTCCCAAACCTGAGAGTTCTGTATGTCTTTGAGTCTTTTTGATCACTTTGATTGACTGCATGAATTATAATTTAGTCTATTATGCTTATTTTGTCATTCTTCTGCCAGTGATGTCTCAGGCAATAATGTTCCTCCTCTTAAACGCATTCCTATGCACAAGTAAGTTCATTTTCCTTTAAAGCATTTCAAGGCTAATAAGACTCTAGTTTAGCATCAATGCATTTCATAATTTCCGTATAACACAAACAATGTTTTCTTGAGACGTACCGAGTTTGTTTACTAACGTAAAACCATTGATTGGTACAGATTCGAGAACAATGCGGGATTGAAAGGCAGGATCTTGCGAGCTGAAAGAAGTTAAAAAGAAATCGTATTTAATGTCTAATTTATCATGAGATCATATGAAATATAGTTCAAGAAATATAAAATAAAATCAGAAGCATGCCTTGTAACAATTCTTTTAAAAATGGTGTTAGTTATCAACCATTTTCTTTAAAATAAAATTGAGATTATTTATCTAGTTAACGGAACATGTGCAAGTTGATTAGTGCATATCCTCTACAATTCTGCTTTTGTTTGCTGTGCCACCACTTGGATTTTATTTTCTTGTCAGCATTCAACACCACCGAGAGTAATTAACTTTTGGTTCTTTAGAATCATTTCAGCTTTTTTATTCCTTTTCTTTTTTGGCGCCTTTAGAATAAAACTTTTAGCTTTGTCCTCTACAATCATCGCATGAGTTATCCGAAGTTTCCAATCTAAAACAGAGTCTTTAGGCAATTTCCTGAAAAAAAAAATATTCGATTAAAGAAGTAAAGACTGTGTCTCTCCGGTGGTGCCAATCATGGTGGACGATGCGCGAATCGTCCTACTGGAGAAGAAGGAAGATGATGACCACCAGAACTGCCCTGGCTGTAACATTGATAGACTTAAACAAGAGCAGCGAGGCATACCTTACATGAACCTCTCCTTCATCTGGCTTGTCTCCCTCTGCACCGGTTCAATTTCTCCTCCTCCTCTTCTTTCTCTCTATCTCTCTAAGGATATGTCTCCGATACTTATGTTTGAAGAACTTTGGTGTTATGTTCAGCTCTCCCGATATCTTCTCTGTTTCCATATCTTTATTTTATGGTAAGTTAAGAGACACTACAAAAAAGTTGTTAAGTGTTGCTTCTTAACTCTATTAGCTTCGTTTTGTAATTCACATGTATGTGTTGTGGTTAGATCAGAGACTTCCATATTGCAAAACAAGAAGAGGATATTGGTTTCTATGCTGGTTTTGTTGGTAATTTTATGCCTCTGTTTCTTTCTCTTTAGGCTTGCTTTCTTGATCACCAAATCTTGGATGAGCATTGATGTGTCTTTTGTGAATTTTCTTCTTAAGCTTCATCATTTATGATTGGAAGAGCTCTGACATCTATTTTCTGGGGGAAGTTAGCTGATAGATATGGTCGCAAACCTATTATCCTCATTGGGACATTCACAGTGTTAGCTTTTTACTATTTTCCTACTTTATTTGCTCAAGAGCAAGATGTATATATATTCTTGAATTTTTACCAGCACTATCTCTTTTCAGGATCATATTCAATACCCTCTTTGGTCTAAGCACAAGTTTCTGGTTTGCGATTTCCATTAGATTTCTCCTTGGCTGCTTTAACTGTCTCCTCGGAGTAATAAGGGTATATCTTAGGATTTATAAAATCTTATATGGTAAAAGTCTGTGTCATAGCTTCCTAAAGGTGTTTTCTATGTTGTTGAACCATATTTTCAGGCGTATGCATCAGAAGTTGTTAGTGAAGAGTATACAGCTCTTAGTCTTTCTGTTGTGAGGCTTCTTATATATCATTTATTTTAACTCTTTGTGTTATTTTGCCCATGCTTACATCATCTAGAGGAGAAAATTTTGTCAGGTAAGTACATCTAGAGGTATAGGACTGATACTAGGTCCTGCTATTGGTGGCTATCTTGCTCAGGTACATGACTAGTTTATATTCAAAACTTTCACCTTCATGAACTTTTCTTGCTTGGGTTGATTTGGTCTCTGTTTCTTGTTTTGTTAGCCCGCAGAAAAGTACCCAAAAATCTTTTCCCAGAGTTCAGTTTTTGAGAGGTAATATATTACCATTTTACTCCAATATACATTTTCTAAAGCTAAAAAAAAATAGTTTCCTCAAAATGTGATATGATGTTGTGCATTACAGGTTTCCATATTTTCTGCCGAGCTTGGTTATATCAGTCTATGCTACTGGAGTTCTCATCGCTTGTTGGTGGCTTCCTGTGAGTATGCTTAAACAAGATAGTGTACTACTGCATGAACAAATATTTTTTTAATGCCTATGGTCATGAAATGAGTTCTTATGAAGTTCCAGAGTTGTTCTATGTATGACTTGGCCATATTGAGATTTGAATGAAGCTAACAAGGTAAGTTACAGGAAACACTTCATACGCGTTGTAGAGTTGCACAAGATAGGTTTAATCCAGATGGACCTGGATATTCACCAAATGAGGTAAACAATGATGAAAACGGAGAAGAAGGATGTGGTGACCAGAAAATAAAAAGTGAGGGAAGTCTCATGAGGAATCGTCCATTGATGGCTGTCATCATTGTGTATTGTGTTTTTTCCCTCCAAGAGATCGCTTACTCAGAGGTAAGAGAGTTACAGTTCCACACTTCCACTTGTCTAACTTCATGGGAGTATCTTCAGTTGAAGTTTTAGAGGCCACTCTTTCAAATCTTTTGAGAATCTTTTAATTAAGAAGATACTATCTTTAGAGTATCAGTAAAAGTTTTCTTTGGTAAAACGTTGCAAGATATTCTCACTCTGGGCTGTCAGCGACAGAAGCTATGGAGGATTGAGCTTCTCATCTCAAGATGTTGGTGAAGTTTTAGCTATATCAGGTGCATGTTATATTTAGCTTACAAGTTACAATGGGTTTTAGGGTATTGCCTTTCATGAATGTTCCTCGTGATTTGAGTTGCTATGTTTTCAGGACTTGGGCTTCTGGTGTTTCAACTCCTGGTATACCCACCGTTGGAGAAAACCTTTGGACTCCTTGTGATTATCCGTCTTTCTGCGGTAAATATGTTTTGTTACGTTTTCTTGATTTGCGAATGATGCTCCTTGTTTTGTTGTAGTTGTAATGTATTACTAATCCCTTACATTTTTTTTGTGCATGCAGTTCATGTTGATACCCCTGCTTTCTTGTTACCCTTCTATAGCTAAGCTTTCTGGGGTGGCACTCCATTTAGTGATAAATTGTGCATCCATCGTCAAAAATGCTTTGTCTGTGAGTGTTTGTTAAAACCCTCCAAGGCTTTTCTGTAAATAATTTCTCTTCTTTTAACAATAAGCAAGAGTTTAAATATGTTTTGGTGATATTTTGCAGATCTCTCTTGTTACAGGATTGTTTATCTTGCTGAACAAGGCTGTGGTATGGTTCTTGGTCCGGTTTATTGTGTAGCATTTTCTTTTCTTTTTTCTTAGGAATCTCATATTGGAAGTTTGATGGAACTTTTAGAATAATATATAAGAAACATAGGTCAATCTACTTGTTACCAATTAGATTTTAGTTTGATGAAAACTTATTTTCTTTGATTTGACATTGCAGCCTCAGAGTCAGAGAGGTGCTGCTAATGGAATTTCTATGACTGCAATGTCTATTTTCAAATCATTTGGGCCTGCTGGTGGAGGTGTCTTGTAAGCATTTCTTGGGATTTATACACCAAACAAATTTCGATATCTTACTAAAAACCTTTAGTGGAAAAATCCACTCAAATATATGCAAATATTACATTCAGTGAGTCTAGCAAGTACACGATATATAAACGAGCTTCATCTTTATTCATCTTGGATTGTTTTTCCGTTGTTGCTAAGTTGTCTTAAATCTGTGTTTTCTTCATGCAGATTCTCATGGGCGCAAAAGAGACAAGTAGCGACTTTCCTTCCAGGTAAATTTTTTAACCATTGGTTAACTTGCGGATTATCATCAAATATATATCTTAAAAACAGGGTTTTTTATATTAAATGACTCTCTCAAAAGCATGTACTTGTTCCTTTTTAAACACGACACACACACAGGTGATGAGATGGTGTTCTTTGTGTTGAACTTGGTGCAACTCGTTGGATTGATTCTAACGTTCATACCTTACATTTCCCACATACAATGAAAGGTTCATTACTCTCTCTCTCTTTCTCTAAGTGAGAAATAAATGGGGAAATTCCTTAGAAATTGCAGGTGTTTCTCTATGATTCTGTACGATACGAATTACAAATAATGTGCGAATGTTATATGATCTTATTTACTAATTAAATTGTTCACTCAAGGTGTTGCTATATCTTTATTCTATGGTCAACAGAGGCGGTTTCACGTTTTATTTATTTTTAATAATTGATCAACCTACCTACATTACATATATAAAAAAATTGTCTATCTAAAACAAGAGTATGATCTTTTTATTTTCATTATTATAAAAAAACGATATGTTTTGTTAATTTTGGTATAAAATATGGTCTATTTTGTCAGCATGTCCCTATAATTTACGTAGGCCACGGAAAAGGCTAACCCTATCCGGTTATCCCCACTGACTAGTGACTTCATTATAAGTCCGAACAAAAAGTCTTTGGTAAAGAAAAGAAAAATAAAGAAAAAGAAGATATCACAAAATAAAAAATGGCAGAAGAGGAAGTGATTGTGTTGAACTTCTGGCCAAGCATGTTCGGAGCAAGAATGATCATGGCTTTAGAGGAGAAAGAGATTAAGTTCGAGTACAAGGAAGAGGATGTGTTTGGTCAGAAGACGGATCTATTGCTCCAATCCAACCCGGTTCACAAGAAAATTCCAGTTCTTATCCACAACGGTAAACCGGTATGTGAGTCCAATATCATACTCGAATATATCGATGAGGCCTGGAAAGACGATAAGACTCTCCCTCTACTTCCTTCTGATCCTTATCACAAGTCGCAGTGTAGATTTTGGACCGACTTTATTGACAAAAAGGTACTATTGTATTTTCTCAATTATTTGAGTATTAGTAGATTTTGGAAAATATAAAATTATCTGAGTACTAATTTTTACATGGTCATATAACTTAGTTGTTTGTGCTAACTATGTGTTGTGTTAACTATATATTACCCAATTTTTTTTACAAAGTTTAGCTAGGTGGAACAAATCCGGATATCCATAGAATTTAGGATATCTTAATTTGGATCGAATCGGTTGGATTCTAGCCACAGTTGTTCATATGCAAATCTATGATATCCACACAAACATTAGCTACAAATTTTCTGCAAAGACTAAGAGTTTTTATTTGTTGTAAATTTAACATAAAGCAAAAAAGGGAGTTCTACAACATATCCTAATATTTTCTTCATACATGCAACTTCTGCTGGCTAGTTAATATAATCTACATGTAGATACTTCATTATAAAAAAAAAGGTTAGCATGTGCGTTAGATTCTTAGGAAAACTAAATCAGCGAAAGAAAGAGAAAAATCTCAAATACTTTGTCACTAATATACAAAAATAACTACAGGTTTTTGACGCTGGAAGAAGAACATGGACGAAGAGAGGCAAAGAACAAGAAGAAGCGAAACGAGAGTTCATAGAGACATTGAAAGTATTAGAAACAGAGCTTGGAGAAAAGGTCTACTTCGGAGGAAACGAAACCGTTTCGGCTGTGGACTTGGTCCTCATCTCCTACTATCCTTGGTTCCCCACGTGGGAGACCATAGGTGGTTTTAGCCTCGAGGATCACACTCCCAAGCTTATGGGTTGGGTCCGTAAGTGCTTGACCCGACCCGCTATCTCTAAATCTCTACCCGACCCGCTAAAGATCCTTGATCGTGTCTCTCAGATCATCAAGGTCCATGAGTTCTTCTATGGTTATTGATATTCTCGTTTTCTCGGTTTTAAAATAAGATAATAATTCCGTGTGCGTGACGTGAGTTACATTTGAGGTGGTGGTGTGAAAAATAACTAGCGTAACTACAGTTAACGTTTGCAAGGTTTAGAGAAACTAAAGCAAATTATGAATTCAGCTTCACGAACATAACAAAACCAAAGACGACGAAGATTCGAATAAGCAATCAAATAGAGAAAGAAGTATCCTTACCAATTTCATAAAGCAAACCAAAAATTCACGATCAATAAAACAAACAAGGAACCAAATCTGTACCTTTTTTTGTCAAGTTTAAAGATGAAAACAGACTTAATAGTTTCGAGGGATAAGAAGAAATCTCACTTCGCCATCATGACTTTGACGAACTCGTCATAGTTGATCTGACCATCACCATCGGCGTCAGCTTCTCTGATCATCTCATCGACTTCCTCATCCGTAAGCTTCTCACCAAGATTCGTCATGACGTGGCGGAGCTCAGCCGCTGAGATGAAACCGTTCTGGTCCTTGTCGAAAACCCTGAAGGCTTCCTTGAGCTCTTCCTCTGAATCAGTGTCTTTCATCTTCCTCGCCATTAGGTTCAGGAACTCCGGGAAATCGATTGTTCCGTTCCCGTCTGCGTCAACCTCGTTGATCATGTCCTGGAGCTCCGCTTCCGTCGGGTTCTGCCCAAGTGATCTCATCACCGTCCCGAGCTCCTTTGTGGTGATGCAGCCTGAAACCAAAACCAAAATTTTAAGGCAACTTCAGGTTTCAGCCACTGCAAGTTTCAACTATCACTTTCTGTGAACTCTAATATAGTCTCAACATTTAACAAGATCTTGAAAGTCGACAGATTGATTTCTTGTTCTTGAAAGTTAACCAAGTTTAACAAAGATACTTCTTGAATACAATCTTGAAAGAAAAATTTCGAGTCTCCTTTTAGTTAGAGGCCAAGAGATAACGAAGCACATTGTTCTAGGAATGATGCAATAGCCAATAAGTGCCACCAAGATGCTACACTAATCTAGAGCTGAACAACAGAGAAGATTTATGGACTTCGAGTCTCTTTTTAATTAAAGGCCAAGAGATGATTGCGCACACTGTTCTAAGAATGGATGCAATGGCCAATAAGAGCCATAAAGATCCCATATTTTGCTAAGAACAATGAAATAGGACAATGCTCCACTACAAACGAAATTTAGGTTTCAGATTTAGGCGCAAACATCTACAAAATCAATTTGATTGTTTCCATTCAGAGAGTAAAACCATATGCACCTAAATTTTGTGAGCAAGGCCATCGTATAAATCCATCAGATGCAAACCAAATCGGTACAATTCATCACAGGTTTGGTTCAGAATCAGAGCAGATGCGAAAATCTCACAGAGAGAAAAAAAACGATCGACTCTATTGCAATGTATGAGTTTACTGAGAACTGAAATGCGGGAAATGAACAGCTAAAATCAACCCTAAAAACGGTCGAGATTTAAGCAAGCAGAGAGACTGATCGAATCGAAACTAGATCTTCCTCGAATCACAACGAAACACAGAATGAACAGAAAATCAGGATCAGTAAACAATCCAAGCAAATGCTACGAATCACGATCTGTACGAAGAAATTCAAAAAAAAAAGTTAAGCAAAGAGATCTGAGGAAGAGCAGACCATCTCCGTCCTTGTCGAATAGGCTGAAAGCTTCCTTGAACTCGGAGATCTGGTCATCGGTTAGCTGATCCGCCATACTTTCTTTCTCCGGTTTGGATTTTCTCGAGAAAATTCGTTGTTTCTTTGGATTCCCTCGACAGCGTTAAAGCGCGTGAAGAGTGAAATGCAGTTTATATAAATGAGATCCCCAGCTACAGGTAGGATACGAGAATTGACGATTTTGCCCTCGCAAACATCTTTTTACCGCGTCGTTTTTACCGCGTGAGTGAACCGTGATAAGTGAGGATAGATAAACTCAAGAACAAAGAGGAAATCTCTCAATGCCTCAACACTTTTTGTAGTGAATAAAATGATTCATTGAAGTGACTTTGTTAGTCCTTAATTATAAATTTATAAGGTAAAGATAATAAAGAAACCTAAAGAGAAGAAGCATCTGATCCCAAAGAATATAGTTGTTATTATGTTGTGTGGCTCACCAGAAACATAAAGATTTTGATGTTTGTTAACTGTGACCAACCTTGATACCCGGTTCAGTTGCATAGATTAGAGATCTTTCCCAAGAATCACATATTTGATTGTCTCTCAATTTCTTGATGGAACCACGATCAAGATTTACAGTATCCAGGAAGTTTCTTGCCATCGGTTTGTCGATACTAGCCGTTCTCTCGCCGCTCTACATTGACAGCTCATCAGAAGACGATCCAGAACCAGAAGACGAACCACTCAGCTTCGTGTTTACGCTCTCCGTGCTTCTGTTACTGCTGGTTATGGCCATAGCCTTATCTCTATACTGCGACCAGAGCTTGACCAGGTTCGATCCCTACTGGATTCATAGGCTCTGTGGCTCCTTTGGTGGACTTCTTGCGATACTCATTCTTCTAGCTTTCGTCTTGAGATGTAAAAGCTTGTACTTAGAACCTAGCTCAAAGTGATTCTAGACACAACTTTCAGATATATCATTCTGATATAATTCACTTATTGGATTCGTCTATTCAAGACTCTTGTTTCCATGCTACTTATGTAAATCCAACGTATTTTGTTCTCGAAATACTTGCAAAATGCTGATGAATTGAATGAGTTAAACACAATTAAAAACAGTATTATTATGATTATCATGGCAGTACACGAGTATTATTAACCTATCATTTATGTAAGGCAAAAACAATTGTTTTAAGAGTAAACATCCAATAATCAGGATATGTAACGTATGAGTATGATTAATACTGTTGCAGTTTAAACCGAAAATATGTATTTTGTCGACAGAAATGAAGTAAAATAAACGTTTTGGATATGTTGGCATCACTTGTACAAATCGAAACCGACACATGATTCAATGGAATATATTTTCAAATGTTAATTATGTTGACTATATCATTTTTTTTTTGATAAAGATTATGTTGACTATATCATCATAGATATATTCAAACAAAATTTCCTAATTCAAATGAGGAAAAAAATAATTTACAATATACACTTTCCATTTTTGAAAATGAGATTTTGAAAGATTTATAGAATGTTTTAAAATGGTTTACTCCCTAAGAGATAGTGATAAGATTAAACACAAGGATTTGAACAAAAAAAAAAAAAAAAAAAATTAAACACAAGGATAAGACCGCATAGTTTAACCGTAACACGAGTATTCACTGACTGGGATATGTAGTAACATTTTGTTTTAACGTCATTTTAGCTCAAACTGATAATGAGCATCCTGTTATCAAAAGTAAAAAAAAAAAAAAAAAAAAAAAATTGGTCAACTAAAATTACTCCTAACAAAAATACAAAATAAAATATTTAGGCCGTAAAAAAACTGTATCTTTTTTAGTCATTTCACTAAATTTCCTAATATGGTTATTGACATTGTGACAGGACACACAGATTATTAACCTCTACTTTTAATAAGAAAGCAAAAGAAAAACTGTTGTTTTAAGAGTAAAAGTCCAATAATCAGGATTTGTAACATACTCCCTCCATTTTTTAAAGATGAATTTTCTAGAGATTATTTGTTGTTTCACAAAGATAAATTTTCTACCTTTTTGATGCACTTTTTCAGTTTTCAAGAAACAATAATTGTATTTGTTAGATTTTTATTGGTTTAAAATCATAGAAAGTTGTTTTATTGCAAAAATCTATACACTAATGATTGGAAATAAGCTTTTTCTTAATATGTGTGAAAAGTCTAGAAAATTTATCAAAAAAAACGGAGGGAGTATGTATTAATATTGTTTCAGTTTAAACCGAAAGTGTATATATATTATATTTTATTGACAAAAATAAAATAAAATGAACGTTTCATATTAAATTGTAATCAGTAGATAGGTTGGCATCATTTGTAAAAATCGAAACCAACACATGCTTTGATGTAATATATTTTTGAACTTTAGTTATCATATTGACTATATATTATAAATAAATTTAAACCAAATTTCTTAGTTCAGTTGGAAAAAGAAAAAGTAATGCGTAAAGGTTTAGAAATAATGTTCTAATATGGAAAAATCAAAACAGTTGTTTTAGAAATAATGTTTAGTGATGAGGATATGTAACGTTTGACTTCAAATTTTTTCTTAGAGAAAGCTATATATGCTAAACTTTGTGACAAGTCAAATAGTGTGTCATATCTTGTAAAAAATCGAAACCGCTTGCACACACATAGATAAAAGATACTTTCAACATTTTAATTACGTTGACTAGATAACTATCAATGATTTCTTAGTAATTTTAAACCCAATTTTCTAACTCAAATAGGAAAAATATATTTTAAAGGAAAGGTGATCAATGAAAAAGTATTATAATTTCTTAAAAATATAACAAAAATCTCAGGTCCAGAGATATTCCTCATGAAAGGTCTAACAAAAATCAATGCTACATTTTTTAACAAATGACATTATGGATGTTCCTACCCGCCGGCGTCTGGAAGCACCGCGGCGAAGCAACAACGGGCACAGTACGGTTACCGACAGATTCATTGCTTTTCTGCGTCTCATGCAGCGGCGGGAGAGTCGTCATCATACGATGATCCCTCGGAAGAGGAGAAGTTGAATACGAATCATCATCGGAGGAAGAGACCATCGTGATGGTTGTCTTGACGGGTTTCTTCGAGATCCCACCGCGACTACACATCCGGTGATTGAAATGGTTTCTCCGGCGGCGAGTGAAAAGGTTCTCAGGTCGACCAACATCCTTCACCTGCATGGATTCAACGTCCGCTAAGCTCCTGAACGACGTCGATTTCCCGTTGTAGAATTTTGATATCCCTCTCCTGTTTCAAAGACAGTTTCAAAATATTCAGACATGATCATAGATCGGACATGTACACTAGAATCAGACAAACCTTATGGGTAAAACCTCTTGAAGAGCATCCATCGTGTCGAGAGGACCCTTGTAACGAGACTCGGCTTCATTCTCTCCGGCTTCATCGTCACTACTGTTGACCCCGATCGAAACGGAAGAAGACGACGATGAGAAGGAACCAAACTTCGCCGTGAATCTCTTCCCCTGACCGCGATCAAGCTTATCCGTCACAATCAACATTTTTTTCAGAGAAAGTTGAAAATCTTTCTCAATCCACAGAGAAAGAGAGAGATGGGGAATGGGATCTTTTAATATATATACTTGAGTTTTCCTGTTTCCGTGTCTGTGTGCTCTTCTGTTTGTTTTCATGATTAAGAATGAAAGGTAAAAAAACATTTATTATTACAAAGGAGGTGAAGATAAGTATTGAAAATGTTTTGTTTGCACTTATCCTAAGCCACCTCACTCATTTCCTTGCTAATTGCCTGCTATATGCATTTCCCATAAAAAAAAATTATGCATATCTACGGGGATATCTGTGGCCCACTGAATATATTTTGTGGTCTGTTTATGGTCGACTCATGACATAAATTGGTAAGAAATAGCATAAGCATAGATATGAGATGATTAGGAGCGATTAAAAAAGATTATGTTAAAAGATAGGCAGAGAGCATTATTTTCCACCTCATTTTTTATGCTTTGTTTCTTCATCAGTTTTAAGCTTTTCTGTTTTTATTTGTTTCCACATGTTCTACATTTTTTTCTTTTTCAAAAATTATGATTTTTTCTTAATAAGTAATTGACATTTTCAACTAAAATTATTAAAATATTATATTTTAAATATTGTTTTTACTATTTTTAAAAAATATTTGTATGTACGAGGATCCAGTAACTTGGAACCGGTTTGAATTGTTGGCTATGCTTATTTTATTCTGATATAACAAAATCCATAGTAAACTACTTGTACGCTGAAATAGCATCAAATAAAATAAAAACAAGTTGGCTGATCTGAAAAAGCTCCAAAATCTTCATTTGACAAAGTACTTATTTAATCAGTATGATAATATTTACATGCATATATACAACCATTAAAAAAAAATCATTCTAAAACCAAAGTCCACCAAATCCTACAAGACAGTGGAAAGAGGGAATGGAAGCAGCACGTAGTCTACTTTATTTTACTGAATACTCAGAAGATTGATGATTATGAACCAAAGAAACAATGGCATAACGCATTTTTGGCTAATATAATAAACACTTCTTGACTTACATCAAATTTGTTTTTTTTTTGAACGAAATAGATCTCATCATCTTTATCACAAACAAGGATTCAATGATATGGGTTGAACTACAGTCTACAGGGTACAACCATCTCAATTATACTCATGTCCTCTTCTTTTTATATAACTATTTTACAACGAAAGATTCTTTTTATATAACTATTTTTCAACGAAAGACTAAATTACGTCTAACCATCAGAAATAAGAACAATGTATGATCTAAATTAATGGAAATAACGAAGAACTCAATCACCTTTTTTTAGGATCTTAAATTTTAGAAACGAAAACGATAACAAAATCTAGTGACCGATGGATGTAAATATCTAAGTCAGGATTAGTAAACCTATACTTAACCTTCTTCCAAGAAATTTCTATTATAAGTTTTCTTTAATCATTCCCGCCATCTTAAACCGATATAAAAAAACTTGAGGCAGAAGAAGGAGACAGAAAAAAAAACCAATAAAACAAAAAACAAGAAAAAACGAAAAGCATGCAGTTGTTTTTCGTTTTTTGTTGATACAAAAAAAGAAATTCATAGAAAGAGAGAAAAAACCAAAAAAAACAAAAACAAAAAAAAAGCAGTTTTCTTTTCTTCCTGTTCTCAGTACTTATATAATTAAGACTTCGCATTTCTATTACAAAACAAAAATTTGAAAATCATGGGTTATCATGGGGATAAAGGAAGAGGAAATGTTGTGACTAGGGCCATACTTTTGGGTCTCTTAAGCATTGTGTGTGTGGATGCTACTTTCATAAATTACAAAGAAGCCCTAACCAAATCCCTAATCTTCTTGGAGGCACAAAGATCAGGCAAACTCCCTCCTAACAACAGGGTTAAGTGGAGAGGTGATTCTGCTCTTGACGATGGCAAACTCGCAAATGTAAGTGTTGTGTTATATTTTATTACATTTCTACTGAATAGAAGAAATATGTTACGATAAAGAATATGATGATTGATTATACAATGTATAGCTGGATTTGTCTGGAGGATACTATGACGCAGGAGACAATGTGAAGTATGGTCTTCCAATGGCGTTCACCATCACAACGCTAGCTTGGTCGACCATTTCCTATGAGAAAGAACTCCGAGCCGCAGGAGAGCTCGAAAACGCTCGTGCTGCTATCCGTTGGGGCACAGATTATTTCCTCAAATGTGCTTCTAAGAAGGACCGCCTCTATGTTCAGGTCCGAACCAAATATCTCTTTAAGCAATTTTTAAACATTTTTAACCTAAATTTGGCTTTCTAGCTAAGAGACCCAAAACCTTGTTCTTACACATGGAATGAAGAATCACCACCTTTTCATTAATTTTAGATCATGCAAGAAAAGATGAACATGCACATTTATTAATTGAAATGTTTGTGCATGTGAATATGATCAAATATAGGTTGGTGATCCAAACGCTGATCACCAGTGTTGGGCGAGGCCCGAGAACATGCAGACGCCAAGGACGGTGTTGCAGATCAGTGATAAAGATCCTGGAACCGAGATCGCCGCCGAGACTGCCGCTGCGTTGGCCGCTTCGTCCATTGTTTTCCGCCATGTCGACCACAAATATGCCCGACAGCTCCTCAACAAAGCCAAATTGGTATGCTTATTAAACAACGCATCTCTTAATACAAATATATATATACTTGTTTTACTAAATAAATGAATTGGAGATTTGACCAATATCTCTACAAAATTTCAGCTTTTCAAGCTAGCCAAGAGCCACAAGGGTACATACGATGGAGAATGCCCTTTCTATTGTTCTTGCTCCGGCTACAATGTAAAATCTCATCTCTAACCTCTAAAAGAATTTTCATTTTGTCTTTGTTTTCACATAGTAATTGATATTAAATTTTGACACAAATGTGTGAAGGACGAGTTGATATGGGCGGCAACATGGCTATACAAGGCAACGAGGAATGAGATATACCTTAGCTTCCTCAAATTTGAAGCCATAAGTGCTTACGTCTCCGAGTTTAGCTGGGATCTTAAGTACGCTGGTGCACAGATCCTCATTGTCAAGGTATATTATAACACATATCCAACATTATAGTTCTCTTTTTTGGTCGGTCGAAACCATTTTATATATTACATATGTAAAAAAATGCAGATGATCTTCGAAGGCGCTAAAGGACTTGACCTATACAAACAACAAGCCGATAGTTTCGTCTGCTCGAATATCCCCGGCAGTCCATACCACCAAGTCTTCAATACTCCAGGTCCATATATTAACATAGTATATAATTAGAAACATATTTATACTTTGATACACAAAGTGATCTTGATTATAATAATTAGGTGGTATGATTCACTTGAGGGATGGAGCCAATACTCAATATGTCACTGCGACGGCTTTCTTGTTCTCGGCCTACGCTGATCTTCTACATGCACATAACCAAAAGATTTCCTGCGGAAGCAAACAATTCGATGCAACACACCTTATGGCTTTCGCCAAAAAACAAGTAAAAAATCTTTTATCTTTTATCAATTCACCACCTGATTTTCCATAAGAATACAATCTTATTGCATATATATATACACATGGCATGACGTTCTCTGTTCTATATGCACGTTACAGATTGACTACATACTAGGGGCTAACCCAAGAGGAAGATCGTACATGGTTGGCTTCGGTCCAAACCCGCCAAAGCAGGCTCACCACAGAGGAGCCTCAGTGCCAATGCATGAAGCCAACGATCCCCTAAGCTGCCCAATGAGCTTCGTGAAATGGTACAACAAGAACGTGCCTAACGCCAACGAGCTAACCGGAGCCATCTTGGGAGGACCCGACCGTCAAGATAACTTCCAGGATCTACGGTGGACCTCCGTTTACACAGAGCCTTGCACTTACATCAACTCTATCGCTGTCGGTCTTCTCGCCAAGCTCGCTGCCAAGGCTTAGAGCCATATATACCACATTTGAGACGGCTTTGATGAAAAGTATTACTATAGGGTTTCCTTTACCTACTATACTCGCATAAAAAAATGTGGCCATGCAATGTGACTCTGTTTTCTTTATTTTTGCCTTTGTAGGTAGCTCTTTGGAATTCTGTTTTCTCCAAAATATATAATTGCATGGGTATAATAATAAGCCCTACTGATTTGAAACAATAAGTAAGAGAAATTACTGAATAGCCGGAATGGTGTAAACTCATTCCGTTTCACGTAGATTGTTGTTCTCAACTCTAATTTTGTTTTATATAAAATGATGTTTTGTTAATTAATTTCTGTGTAATTTACATAACATAAACAAATATATTTTAACACAAATGTCTGTCTATGTGTTTCTATAAAAAAAATATACTCACTATTCTGAAATATTTATCAATTGTAATAAGATTTGTTATAACAAGCTAAAAAGCTTTTTCACTACCCAATTTTTAACTTTCTTTTCTTTAACGAGAACATAAAACCGGAATCCGATTTTAATAACCAACCAGCGCGAATTTATGAACCGGCATTGACCCGGATCCATCGCCAAGCAGCAGCAGCACAAGCATCGAAAGTCAAATCTTTCTTTTCCTCTGTTGACTATTTTAAGTTGGTGACTAATTTTGATTAAAGAAACAAATCTGCACAGATGGAATTGGGTCTCTAATTAAAGAAAAACAAAACTCCCATTCGAAAACTCATGTTCTAACTTCTCTCACACCAGTGTCAGTGCTGTACGAGAGAAAAGAGAATCACTTTTTCAATTTCTTTTGGGTATTTGTGCGTTTAGAGACTCTGTTTGGTTCTTCAAAAGTCGAAGCCGATTCCAACCCACAAAACCAAAATTCGAAATTCCCTTTACCAGAGAAGAATCTACCTACAAATCTTTCCCGGAGATTTTTTTTCGCCGCTTTATTAGTCTTCGTCGTCATGCATTCCGCGTCGGAGCCTGAGAGAATGGAGGAAGAAGAACAACCACGTGAAGGAGGAGGAGGGAGCAATTCGCTAAAGAGGAAATTCTCTGAAATCGATGGAGATCAAACTCCTGACTGTTCCTCTTCTCCTATGATGATCGACTCTAATGGGTATCTTTGATCTTCCTCTCCTTCTACTTGATTTTTGTTTTGTGTTGGTTTTTTGAGCTAATTCACTAAAGTTACTCTCTTTCTTATTGTGGGTCTGTGAGTTTTTGCAGCAGTTATGAGTCGAAAGTGTACGAGGTTGCCAAGGAGAGGAACACAATTGCTCTTCTGGAGACAGCAACTGATAAGTCACAGATAGTCAACATGATTGTCAAAGGCATGAGATCTTCTAATGCTGCCAAAAGATTGATAATTTTCTTGGCCCCAACTGTAAATCTTGTCAAACAGGCAAGTCTTTCTTTTTATCTGATTAGTAGGCTCATTTGATTGATGTTTGTGAAAGAAAAACTGTTCCTTTTGATTTTTAATCACTCTGACTCGATGATATTGGTAAATGAATCACCTTGGGAGCTCGTTTAATTGATGAATGTGAAAAGAAAAACTGTTTCTTTTGGGGGTTTGTATGGTTTATGTAGGATTTATTCACTTGAATCCTTAATATTGGCTAATGAATCACCATGGGAGCTCACTTCAGAACGTTTTTGTTTCTGTTGTTGTTGTGTATGGTTTTAGCAATGCTGTGAGATCAAAGCAAATGTAAATCTGAAGGTTGAAGAGTACTTTGGAGCTAAAGGAGTTGATAAATGGACATCCCAGCGCTGGGAAGAAGAACTTAGCAAGCACGATGTAAGTTTGGGTTCCTTCTTGTATATGCTAACAACTGACTTCCTCTCTAGAAGTTTCCATGAAATATATCACAATGAACAAAAAGCCCAGAAGTTCTTTAATATCACAGGACGTTGCCTAAATCTTCTTTTCTTGATGAACATTTTGATTTTCTTGCACAGAATTTTGTAATGTTTTGAGCCATGGATGGTCAATGTGGTTAATACTTTGTTTGTTTAAGCCCTTTCAGACTATCTTCCATAATTTTTTCTTAACAGTTTGTTTGGTATTGATCTGTCTATCATCTGATGTTCTGTCTGGTTCAGGTTATGGTAATGACTCCTCAAATACTTTTGGATGCCCTCAGAAGTTCCTTCATGCAACTAGAGATGGTACATCTTCTAGTAATCGATGAATGTTACCGCACCACAGGCAATCATCCCTATGCGAGATTAATGAAGGTTTGTTTCCTTATATCCATAGTTAGTTACTTATATCCATATGTGTTAATAAACTATCTTCTTTCTGTTTTTGCATGAAGGAATTCTATCACAAATCAACTGATAAACCGAAGATATTTGGTTTGACTGCATCAGGATTCGTTAGAAAAGGCATGCCATTTAAAATTTTCTCAATTCCTCTCTATGTCTAATCTGATCTTTAACTTCTTTGTTTATGATTCAACCTCATGTAAGTAAAATAAACTCATATTGCTAGAGTTTTCTCAATATGTGCAGATCAAGTATTTGAACTTGAGAGCCTCTTGGACTCAAAGGTACTTTTGTTTTTGTGTGACAAGGAAACAAATAATTTGTTCACGTATTAATTTTCTGTAACTTTTGCTTTGAACTTCAGATTTTTAATCATGAAGAGCAGAAAGGGGTGGAAATTTTTGCTACAACAGTAAAAGAGGGTCCAATATTTTATGATCCATCACCTTTCTCTACTCTTGAATTGAAAGAAAAGCTAGAAACATTGAAGCTCAAGGTATGTTTGCTCAATGTGTAGGAGCCAGAACACTGCTCTTTCCTATTATGTTTCAGAGGGCTTGAAAATGGTTTTATTCTGTTATACAGTTTGGTGCTTCTTTATCAAGGCTTCAAGAAATGGAAAAAGACCGGTTTCCCGACATGGAGGATAAGTTTCAGACATATCGAAAGCGGTTGTCCATTGACTACAGTGAGATTTTGCATTGCCTTGATAATCTC